ATCTCTTAGCAATTTAACCTTTGATTACAATCGAAAAATTTTCAACACCTCATCACCAGCCCTATTACGTCCCCACTGCAGGGGCTCAGGCCTTCCTTATGGATGGTTAAGGAGGCATATTTCAATCATCAACATCAGCATATTCATTTCCGTTACATCGACGATATACTCCTTCCCTATATATATATGGATGCAATCACATAAGGAATTCACGCCACCAACCAAGCAGGCCTGGTGCGAATTGGAGGATGTTTACGATTGCAGATGTAGCCAGGCCAACAGCTTTACATACATTTCGAAGCATAGGTGAGCTCAAAGTATTTAATTTGCAGTCACCCGTTTCATAACCGGAATTTACAAAAGATATTTCACCTCTAGAATCACAAACCCGCGTACGCTGATCACCGCGGAACACAAAATAGAGGTGCTAACTACTACGCATTCTGCTTCCCTCAAATATTGCTAATACATATTTTAAAACCGATTGAATCTAACCTAAGCAGTAAAATTAAATCATTCATAAAATCAGCTGAGCAATTAATAATTTTATTTATGCATTTATTATTATTTAGGACCGTAAAATAATATTTATCTTAACAAATATAATCATTAACATAAGCCCTTTTACGTTTCCATTGCAGAGACTCAAGCCTTCCTTGAGGGCCATGACCCTCCACACTAGCCCAATGCGGATTTTAGGTTATTGACTACTGCAACTGAGCCGGGACCAAGTCATAAAGTGCTTTCCGGAGCACGGAGAATATCGAATCAGTAATTTTTAGTCACCCATCCCCTGACCGACCCTTGCGAAAGTTGCTTAACAACAGCGATCGCGGGCCGCGGTGCTTATTCACTACACTACCGAGCTACTGTTATAATTTTTTTTATATAATGTTTCCATTAATTTAAAATTAGTATGAACATTTTGATGTAATGTTAGAGGAAAAAAATTTTTTAATAGAAGCTGAAGATAGGGTATCTCGATCCAATATCAGTGTAAGGGAAGAATCTCTCGATACAGCAAAGATATAAAAGATAGGACATGTCCTTATTCTCGAAGTTAAGCTTATAGACTCTTCACATTATCGGGAATCTTTATAAAGGTTTAGTTTAAAGATGATACTTTAAAATGGCTTTTTTTTAATTAGCACAAGTTTCCATAATTGTGAGCTATAGAAATATGCATGTTGCATGTATTTTAAGTTTATGATTATTTAAATGATTAAGACATACAGATATCCACTGCATAAATTACCATCAAAATATTTATATTTTGTTATCGCTGAAAAAATGTTGACAAAAACCCTAATAATCGTATGATCACAATTTTGATTATTCTATGTCCAGCCAAATCATGCAGACTTTCCTAGTGTTTAAATTGTCTTTGAGAGAACATGAACTTTTTTACTTAAGTTCACCAAGTTCATATTAAGATTTGGTTTCTATAACTCTATGCTCTATGAAACCTAGGTTCAATGATCATGTTCTTCGCAATAAACAGCTTATAAAGATCATTGTCTGTCAAAATAATTTTAAAGAAATCTTTGTTAAGCTAGTGCACATATATAAATATCTTACAATAATTATCTTAGATTATAGAAAAAACTCTAAATAAGATAATTAAGAAGGTTAGCCTCTTTCAAAATATCAATATCTAGCATAAATATTAATATTAATAATAATAATAGTAGTTTATTTTGCATGAATGTTGCATAGTTTCTCTATAAAACGGCGATTATATAAAACACAAATATTTTCTTAATATATGTATGTTTGTTAGACTGTCATCAAAAAAAAATTGTTTTATAGATCGGCCTTCATACCCATTTATTAGAAATGCATCACCATTATTATATGAGTTAGCCTGCTAGTTTCGGTGATGAATCTACATACTTTGGTACTCTGCTTAGAATCAAATCACATATTAATTTATTCTAGGTGCTCAGACGAAAAGTGACACTGATGACATTTATTGAACGCAACATTAGCACTTTCTCTATGGTTACTTTGAATGCAATATTCTTACACCTCCAGTTTATTCTGCCATGGTATTTATATGGCACCATTTTATCCAAATAGTAATAATTGTCTCACTTAAAAATATATTGGGCGAAGAGAATGAACTTGTAAAACATACGCATTGGACAGTGGTTGAATCTCTAGCTGAAGAGTATCCTTACATAGTGGCACTTTTGGACATTAACAAAACGTATATTTGCACAGGGATTATTATAAACAGTAAAGCCGTATTAACTTCAGGCAGCTGTATCCAGCGTGAACTCTACTACATCGCAATAGGATCAGCAGTGTTGAGTCAAAGTGAAAAGTTAATCAATAAAAATAACCTTTACAAAATAGCAACGACTGCTCTACACGGAGACTACACATTTGAACTAACACCTAATGAAATGAACGTGACCCAGATGCACAGCAATATAGGTCTTGTTTTCGCAATGCGACCTGAGTTAGATATATTCATTCCTGCAGCAGACTTAGGAAATTATTACGCATCCGAATTGCGAAGTAAGAATTTGATGGCAGTCGGTTACGGGAGATTCAATAAATCTGGAAGCGTCGCTTTACAATTCCAGACTTACCGGCAAAGCCCGTGCACTAATCCCAAATGGTATTACTGCATTTGTGGATATGAATTTCCGAAACTCGAGGACTCTTACGAAAGCACATTCGGCGAAGGTGCACCAGTATTCTTCAACTCAGAATTGGTTGGGGTCACCGCTATAACTTGTGGGACTTTAGAGTTGAAATCTATCGGTATAAAGTACAACATATTTACAGTCATAAGCGCTTACGTACCATGGATAGAAAAAACATGTTCAAACATCACTAATAACTTTTCATTCCGTAGTAAAAACCACGGTAATACTAATACCGTTCCATTAAAAATGTATATTTTATTAGCTGTTAGTCAAGTGCTGAATTAAAAGTGAGAAGATGCATAAGTCTTGTTATTTTTGTTCTGATTTTTATCAGGTAATTAATGTTTTATGGACGAGTAGAGTTTGCAGATAGCTCCGCCAATATTCCAGCGGAAATTGAATCTGTGTTCATAATGCATCATGCCTGCCGCACACCGTAATGAAACTCCAGGGGATATTATATCTATTTTTGTATTAATTAATGTATTTTCTAAGCGATCGTGTTCAAATAGCATGAATAATTTAGTATTCTAAAAGTAATTTCGAACTTTAAAATTATTGGTCGGCTTGTAATTTGCATTGATCACCAATTGGTATAAGAAAATAAGGTTAGTGCAAGTAATATTCCCGTGAGTATATTTGATATCGTTTAAAATTGACGGGATTTACATTGACGTTTTTGTATTTGATAAGTAGAAAAGACTTTTTTTAGGAAACTTGGGCACTGTTGGTCTTTTTAATGGCATTACTGTTTTTGAAATTATTGTTATTTTACATGACAGTATGATGCCAAAATAAATTTTAAAAAATGACACCGTGATCGTGGCGTTTGCAACAATGCTGTAATATCGGGGATTCGTGCGAAACAAAGTAGGTGTGGTAGAAAGCCCATTAAGTTTTTTAGGTAAATCTAATATGCTTTAACGTAATTACTGAACTTCGAGCCATTAATAAAAATTGCGCTGTAAGCTTAGTTCCCTCCGCTTAATGAGCGAAATAACCTAATTAAAAACCTTTTTCTTTTAAGTGCTCGCGGCTACTGTGATATGCTTCAGTGCTATGCTACAGGAAGTTCGTAAGAAAAATGGACCGTTACCATTTGCCCTTAATAATTTCAAGTAACCTCATCAGCTTTATTGAAAACATTGATAATAAAAGCAATTATGTTTAGTGATTTATATATATTTTATGTTAATGTAACAAAAAAGAAAAGCAAAATATATACACGATTCGAGGAGTTTATTTATTTAATTTTTATTGCCAAATAAAAGCAAACAGCGGATTTAATGCCGGAGGCATTCTCTACCAGTCAACCTGATATGGATATACAGAAAACTTGTAAGGTAATGACAATAATAGAATGACATACAGATATAATTAATATGTCGTCCAAGTAGTTTGATATTTGGATGAATGCTTTCAGTTATTTTGTTATAAAAATAAATAAAAAAAAAAAATTATTAATCGTCTAAGATTCGCGAAGAAATCGGCCAACATACGTCAAAATCACATATGAATCGCAGTTTCCACTTCTCTCTTCAATCAAATCTTCCATCTCTATGTTATTAGTATAGATTTAAACATATGACAATTCCAGACCCAGAAATAGTTCCTTTCATTCAACTCATTTCGTACTATGGCGACTTATGGCAACTTAGTCTAATGGTGGAGGTGGGTGGCGCAATGAAAAAACTGGTAGCACTCCTTAGTCTTGATTTATTTCTGATAAGAATTACATTTAATCACTTACAATAATTATACTACGATGCTCACCCCAAGCTGGTCTCGATCAGAAAAAAAGACTATTCACCGGCAAAACACGAACACGCGAATTCGAATATGAAAAAGTAATAATTTAAAATATTAACGGCCAGCACTTGACCATAAACAGTCCGAAGAGTAAACCCTACCTATAGTAATGTGCTCGGACGTTACAGTACCTACCGGTAATAAATCAAATAAATAGTATGTTTTCAGATAATGTGTCATTACCACAGTAATAAATCTCAATACAGTCAAGACCTCTTGTTTTTATAAAATGTCCGATATAACAGTGCTCATAAAACATATTCATTTTAACAATTAACACAACTCACTGTGTAATCAAATTATTTAGTCGTACTTGTATTTTATATACCTTTTCAGATTATTATTTCCTTCAATTTACAAAAAGATTATATACATATTGGAATTCAAAAGCTTCAGATAGAATGAATTTAACTTGCACTATTTTGTGTTTAATCTACAGTTTTATCCAAACCCTCCTGCCATCTTTAAGCGTCACGTGATTAACGGATGATTCCAAAGATATTTCTCTAGTGCCAACGGTAACAAACCTCCTTTCGTATACTCACTCTTGTCTACATAAAGTCCAGTATCATTGCGATTCTAAGTAGAAACACACGACTAGGTAAGTGCTTCCAGTAACGACTAAGATACGAAATATTTGGACTTTTCAAATCGCCTATATTTAAGAGCTTAACAGGCTTCTGCTAAATATTAATTTAGGAAGATAAATTCATCAATCTTAAGGTACTTTTGAAGATTAACAATAGTAAATTGTAAAATAAATATTAATAATTTAAAAATTATCTGCGCGAAATTGACCATTATTTCAATGGAACTATGCATTTTTATATATTTAATCATGATAGTGAGTCTATTTGTATATTCCCATAGCTAGAAATGTTAGGCATCCTTAACTGCCAAAATTATTTTATAAACAATTATCTATTTTCCAATTTAACTTGAGTCATAGATTATATTTAAAAGCATACTTTAGTTAATTTAAAAACTTAATTAATGTTAAGTACTCGTAAAAATACAAAAATTAATAAGAAAATAATGAGGTAATTAGATGATGTCATTTACTTAATATTTGCAAAAATTAATAGATTTATCATGCCTATAATTATCTAATTGTTACTGTTATGAGTTGATAATGCTATTTAAAAATATCGTTACTAATCACTCCAATTCTAACCTTTCACCCTAAACTTGGTTTGATAACAACAAACACATTTTACTACAACCGACTCTAGTGAACGGACCGTTTTCATATTTCGTATTACTGTTAAGTATTAAATGTAATATAGTATTAAATAAAAAGTTTAATAAAATATTTTAAAATACTTTCCGAAATGAATTCCATTAGAGTGTTCGCGAGAAATATGAGCAAAGTTAAGAAGTGGAATCCGTTGAAAAAAGTTGGTATTGTCGGCGTGCCGTTTGAAAAAGGACAGACGAAATATGGAGTCAGCGTCGCCCCAGCAGCTTTAAGAGCAGCGGGACTAATTGAGGAACTATCACAAATAGGTATTTAGTTTAATTATTTAGTATTCAATGTCTGGTGCAAAACTGGTGACTGCAAAATAGGTGATGATGATAGTGATGCTTTCGGGCAGAGCTTTCTTATGGATTGATTCGAATCGAAACGAATAGGGAGAATGAGCTATGACCTACTAAGTGGGCCCACTGCGGATTGGTGGGTGTTAACGACTGTAGGTACAGCCTACACCTACGGTTAATAAAGCACGGAGGAGCTCGTAATTATATTTTTTTGGTCATCCATCTCATAACTGTTGCTTAACAACAGTATCGCATACCTCACTGCGCCATCGAGTTCCTCAAACCATCATCCGCTCTAATGTCCAAAATCCACCGTACACCATCCACCCTCTGCAGCAGATGGAATCAATCGGCACTGACCAACAATTTTCGGTCACCGTACAACGCACTAAAGAACATCAAACTCTTGTGAAATAAAACTGGAAGGATAAAGCCCCTATTGTGTTCCTAACTTATTTTTACTTGTTTTTCGATTTGACTGGTACTTGATATATTTAGTCTTTGCTGTATCACTTGAAAAGTTTAGTTTTTCAATTGTTTTGTTCTTGGAAAACAACTTTGGCCGCGTATTATGCAGCTTCTTGTAAGTGAAATGATTTTTAAAATCGCTCCAATAATTTCGGAGCAAACAAAGAAAACAAATGTTTCTTTTTGATATTATTAGTCTTAATATATAAATGAAAACATCTTACTTAATGTAGACTTTGTATTTTATGTTCACAATAAATTTTAGATTAGTATTCCTTAGATTCATGCAATCCTTATAATACAGAACGAAAATTGTACTTCCTACTCGTTTCAACGAATGGAGAGCTAATTACAATAATCAGTAAACTCTAACTTTTATAAAAGGTGATGCACTTCATTTTAAATGGAATTTCTATTATTTTGGAGGCAGCTGCTTCTTAAGTGATTTCTGTTTATATATGTACTAAATTTTGTATACGTAGACATACATTGTTCAAATTCTAAGACGAGTAGCTACAGACCCCCTGTTAAGGAGTATCTGAGATATTGAAGGTAAACTCCCAGAGAGACAATATTGACCCGACCAGGAATCGAACCCGGGACCTCAGAAATGGGGACACCTTGAAACTGGCGTGCATACGCCTACAGAGGTCGTCGAAATGCTCTTAAATTTTGTAATAATGGTATTGATTTTGCTTGATATATAAACAGGGGATGATCTATTGAACGAACGAATGAACCTTAGACTAAAAATTACCTTAAGTTCATTGCCTGCCGGCTTTGCCTGAATAAATTTAGCCTGAAGAATTTTACTATCCAATTGCGAAAAATGATCTAATTTCTACTTCTAAAGTCACGTACACCAAAAAGTTTGCGAGTAGAAAGCTTTTTTTTACTTAACAAATAAATTACGTTAACATCTTCTTTTAAAGAAATGCGAAGTTTTTGCTGGTTTTCGTTAGAAAATGACTTTTTATAACGTGGCATAAAAACTTTCGGCGCCCATACTGTATGTGACCACTATGTATACAAAAAAAAATGATTGAATAGGTAAATAATATTAATGATTTCTGTTACATATTTTAAACATCAAGAAGTCAGATTCCCAAAATACCTATATCAAATTTCCGTAGTTGATTTTGAATTCTACCACCAACGTATTACTAAGGTTCAAAATCAAGTGGAGAAATTGTCAATTTTGAATAATCTGACAAGCCGTTGAATGTACTAGAGATTGGCGAAGGGATTTAGTCTTTATAACCGTAAAAGGGTCGCAATAATGGGTCGTGCGAAGCAAAGATATCAATGTGGAAGGGAAATGTTAAAAAGAAAACTGTCATATTAATTTCTAACCATTTTTTCCACTGGGTCGACTTCAGAAACATAATAGCTAAAGAATTATATTTTAGTATACCAAAAATATTCTAAAATATCGAGTAGTTCTTGTCTAAAGTTATACATCAATCATTTTTCATTCACATTTCCTTAGTAAAGGAAGAATAGTACGCCGACTCGAGCCCCGAACGCGCGATAATAGCCTAAACACGTAGTAAATTTGTTGCGTACCTAGAAAACAGCAGGGATCTATGTATAAGTACAATGGTTATTGATTATTTCTTGAGGTGAAAAATTGTAAAATTTTCATTACCAACATCGTGTGATCTGTTCATCGATTAGTTAAAACGTGGCATTCTGGAATCATATAGGGGAAGCCCGGGCAAGACGAATATGTTAAGGGAAAGGCTAGAAAAAACACACAAATTTCTAATCAACAACAGTTTTTTTATTAATAATTTGTACTTTAGTTAATTATCTTTGGAAAATGCTAGTAAAAACTTTAAAACTTAAACAACTTCTAAATAAATTTATAGTTACAAAAAAAAGTGCCTATTATCCGTTTTGCCCGACCCCCCCGGGTAAAACGGATACACCCTCAGGGCAAAAAGGATAAGTAAAGCAATTGGTATTTTAGTCTTCGCAATCGTCACAGTAGTAGCTGCCTACCCCTAAATAAGAAGTACAGTCCTCGTGTGCCCACCTCTTGCATTGGTTGCACTCTATCCAATCTTCGGAAGGCGGTTCAATAAATACTTCTGAGCACACTAAACATAAACAACCTGTTTCATTTTTCCGATTTTGATTGTTAGACTTCTTTGTTACTTTATGTTTTCTAGAACCGGTCAAATTGGTTATATTAGTCTTTTTGCATGTAGATTTGCCAGGACCTGCCAACTTAGGTGTTTTTGTTTTTTTATGTGCAGTTTTGCTGGGGCCTGCTAACTCAGCTATTTTTGTCTTTTTATCATTAGCTTTTTTAAATTTTTTAGCTTGCTCTTCTTTGACAGGAGTAGATGTCAGCACCTCTGATTTTTGCCTCTTGTTTTTGCGATTTGTTTTTGGAGCAGCCATGGTTGGTATGGGTCTGATTTGCAATGGTGTAAGGCTATGTTTCACTACTTTTAATGGATTGTTTTCAGCTTGTGAGCTAGCTGATTTTCTTTTCGGCAGGATATCACTTGCAAGGACAGGTGTAGCAGACCTCTCAGGTTCTATTTCGATAATAATTTCTGTTTTAGTAAGTTCCAGCGTTGAAGTTGGTGATCTAGCAATGGGACAGTCATTTGAATTAGTCAATGGATCATTTGAATAGCGAGCAGCTCCACTTGTTGTTGGAGCGTCAGTCGTTGTAGACAAAGCGTCACTCGAACGGAAATCATCCATTGTCAACGGGGCATTAGTTATTGTAGATGAGGCTGTAGTATTTGATGTTGCGACATTAACAGGGTGGTCAGTCACTGTTGTCAGAGCATCAGTAATATAAGATGCGTCATTTATAGGTCGGTCAGTCATAGCTGATGGAGCAAAATCTTCATCCCCAAATACATTTGGATTATAAGGCCAAATTCCCGGTTTATTAAATCCACTTGTTGCATTCTGGACTGAAGCACTTTTGACGTAAGCTCCACAAAACAGTTTTGCCATGTCATACTGATTCACGATTCTGCCTGGGTGACTTTTTTGAAACGTGTTCAGCTCTTGCTCAAAATACTTTTTTAACGGTCCATAAACAGCCACGTCTAGTGGTTGCATTCGGTCTGTGGTGTGTGGTGCGAATGATAAAAATATGATGTTATTTTTTGACGCAAATTCTAAAGCTGGATAAAACTTGTGCGATTCATGGTTATCAAGCAAGAGTAGCACTTTTCTCTTCTCACTTGGGCGAACCTTTTCGGCAAAAAATTGCAACCAGCTTAAAAAAGCCTCACCGTGGATCCAGCCGTTATCTGTGACGGTGGCTTGTGAGCCTGGTGGGGCACCATCTAATAGTCTTTCCTGCATTCGTTTGCGTGCGAATATAAAGAAAGGGGGTATGAATGTACCTGCTGCGTTACAGCAACATATGACAGTAGTTAACTGACCCCTTTCTGCACTGCTTATGACGCCGACTTGTTTTTTTCCTTTAATAGACAGGACCTTCGGTGGTTTAGTTGTACTGCTCTTTATGCCGGTCTCATCCATATTATAAATGGTAGTTGCATCAAGGTTGTATTTTTCTACCAGATCCCAATAATTTGTATAAAAAAACTCAACTTGTGGTTTGTTGAAACCTCTTGTTCTTGCCAGAGATGTTGGCTCCGGTGATCTAAGTACAAATTCTGGGTGTCGACTCTTGAAACCAGAAAACCAGTCATCACCTGCTTTACCATTTTTGAACGAATGAGCGATATTATTTTTCGTTGCGTATTGATACACCAGTTTTAGGAAATCTGCACGAGTTAGGCCAAAAAACAGGCTGTCTAATTTTTTCAAGTACGCGCTTAGCTCTTTTTCTTGCTCCGGCGAAAAAACCGTTGTAAATCTACCCAGTTTCTTTGCCGTGTTTCCTGACTTTACATGTCGATGTAAAGTTGTAAATGGAATTCCGAATTCAGTAGCGGTAGATTTAATAGATTTCCCTGCTTCTTTTACCGCTTTTATTGCTTTCCCAAGTGATTGTTCTGACCATGCTCCTCGATCACTTTTGCGTTTGTATTTATATACCATCTACAACGAAATAATCATGTATTTAATCTAATACTAATAATGAAACTAATTACTCACATACTACTATACCTATATGCTAATGGACTTAAATAAATGTGTTTAATTTCGAGAAAAAAATACTATCGAACTATCCGGGCAAAACGGATAGCTATCCGTTTTGCCCATATCCGTCGTGCCCAAAGCACTAATATACAAACGTTGTATTAGCCTACTGTAAAATTTCTAACGACGAATGAAAAGTTACAAACACAAATAAAACTTCAAAAAACACGCAATCGCTCAAACAGAGTTTGTTCGTTAACACTTAATACATAATACAAAAAATCAAAACACATACCTTGCCAAAAATCGTAACAAAACAGCAAAAAACTTTTATTATTATTTTCACAACAAGTGCACGCATCTATTGTTTTGGTTGAACTGTCATGGCGCGGCTGAGTTGCTGTTTCACCGACGCGTGCTTCTCCAGTAACGCCATCTATTGTAGGTTTTTAATAAAATCGAGTATTCGTCTTACCCACACTATGCATCTTGCCCGGGTTTCCCCTATTTATTGAAATAAAATAATATAATTATAAAATTGTATTTTTCATACTTTTAACTATCTATTTTAAAGAATATTTTAAAAAATCGCATGTTTCGACAAATACGAAATACGGATTCAAAACCAACTTTGAATTTGTAATTATGAGATACGTACAAATTATAACGAGCGGCAAATGCGCGGTGTGTGTGCGGGCACGACTGGTGAGTTGTCACTCGTACCTTGAGCACCTTGGATTTATTTTAGTATAGTATAGTTGCCTCATTTAACATTCGTCTGTAGACCGATTTTCCCGCGGACATCTAATTTATTAAATGTTAATTTGACGAAACGTGCCTCAAAGACGTGATCCTTTTAACAAATACTGCACCAGTACCAACTAGGTAGGTACTGATACTGGTACCTACTGGTACTAAAACTGGTATAAAATCATTCATGCTTAATAAAATTCAATGTTATAACATCAGTCAAAAATAATATCGGAACGCATTTCATATTTCGTGAATCGAATTGATTCACGCTTGATTTAGCGCAAATGATACATTTCCATTCCAGCGACATCTATTTTGATTTGTAGAACTATTATTTATTTAAATATATTTTTTCTTTCGTTAAGTTGCCTGGAATAGATTGCTACGTAGCAATAAGGCCACATTTTATACACTCACTTTTCTAGCTTATTTGTAGTTTGTAATGATGAAATATTTAAAAAAAACATTAATTCCCGAAATCAAACTAGATGTCGCTACGGTACTTTTTTGATTTCTCCATGACAACCCTTCCGGTTTTCCTTCATGTATAAAAGTAAATTAATTTTCAAAACTCAATAAACAACTCATATTCTATTTGTATTTTTTCGTATTTGCATTGATATCTAAGATTCGAATTTTGCAAATTTAAGTTTTTTAATATGTCAGTTAAAAGTCTTTAGTCCATAAGTTTCCTGTAAAAAAAAACGACTTTTGATAGAGTCGCCATCTAGTGAGGTGTTTTTTAATGTCTTCTTTTTTTCTTCAAATACTTCCTCATTGCGTACAATAAATAACATTAGTTATTATTATCAACTCTTTCTTTCCTCGGTGCTATATTAAATTTTTACCACTCTACAGAGGGTCTCGACGTAAAGGATTATGGAGACGTCGAAGTGGTAGGCGGAGATACCTCTCAAATGGTAGACAACATGGTTCACTTGCAGCAGGTGTCCATCTGCAACAAAAAAGTATCAGAGAAAGTCTCGCAGATATTGAAGGACGACCGCGTCGCTGTCACTATTGGTGGCGATCATTCCATAGGAGTAGGTAAGTTTCTTGTACAATCATGTATTTGACTACGTCTAGATACTTAGAGACCTCAAAATATTATAACCGTAAGCACAGGTACACATAAATTATCCGTAAGACAGTTTTCCAACCACCAATGAAGAATGCGATGCAAGTAACCACTGTTTTTAATTCACAAAATATAATATATGGAGGCACCATCTCGATGAAAGAAACGAAACATATGTTAAAAGCATATCAGACGAATGATGCATAGCATCGCGTTAGTCGCAGAACGTAAGAAGTGACAAATTATATAAGGTGACATTCGACCTTGCACGCTCGCCTGAAGATTCTTTGCGTATTCAAGCATACTTTCGTGGACGCTAGGCGATTCTTCCGACAGATTTGTATCGACCCTAATAGTTGGTTTGCTTTGCTTTCACTGCTGTCCTGCGTTAATTCTCTCTCCACTCAATTTTCCGTGGTGATTAGAACTATCAAAGATAATTTGCACTTTGTCTTTCCTTAGATTAGAATGTCATTGCAAAATTAACTAAATATGTTGGTAGTCTTATATAACTTACATTAATGTTAAATAAGAATACAATTCACAGATATTGTTAACAAAGTATGTACCTACAATGTAACCACACCAAAGCGATAGCTTAAACTATATCGAGACTACAGGTGTAGATGTCGTGCATTTGGTTTTGCACAAGAAGTTTATATATTTGTCTTACACCTTAGAAATATTAACATTGATACCATGTTCTATTCTGTTTTCAAATTCCAGGAACTGTAGACGGCCATTATAATACGAACAAAGACATGATCCTCATATGGGTGGATGCGCATGCAGACATTAACACCAACAAGACTTCAGAATCGGGTTCAGTGCATGGCATGCCTGTTGCTCTACTGGTCAAAGAACTATCAGACTATTGGCCTTATCTTCCCACTATGGATTGGCAAGTGCCTAAGTACGTACAAATTACATTTACTTCTTTTTTATATAATCAACGTCAACCCATTAATGATTAAACAAAGAGAAAATACATAAAAAAGCAGAACATAGATAGATACAGCAACAGATTCAGTAAGAAACCGACTGCTTAACATAGCATGAAGGAGCTTGCCATGCAAAAAACTGATTTTCCTTCACAGTCTTTACTGACAGACTGAACTGGCTAACCACTGCACTATCAAGCTTCTCCTATTTTCCATGCTAGAGTAGAAAATATTTTAAATCCAGAAACTGTCTGCAAACAATATCCAGCCTGTCAGTCCGGACTAAATCTAATCCATTTAAATCGAGTCGGACAGTTCAGAACAATTCTGTTAAGATCTAGTCCAGTCTTGTCATCCGATCCAACGTCAGATAATGTAGGATCAAAAAGTCAGATGTTAGCTGACCTGTCAAACTTTTACTAGTTGCAAATCTACTAAGGCACGTTAAGCCGGTTTCCCGGCCGCAATTCCGGCTGCGATTATTAACTGTGCTCGCATGGTGGGTCATGACCCTTTCTCTTTATTGGATTCAATTCAAACTTATTCATAAGGACTCTCTAACCTATTCATAAAACTATCCCTCAGCAGTGGGGAAGTTATACGCTGATGATGATGAAATCTACTACTATATTTCACACTGCTTTCTTATATAGAATAAGTTTACGTATTAATTGTTTTTTTTTTTCTCTTCAGATTCTCAATCAAAAGTCTTGGTTATATGGGCTTACGGTCAGTGGATCCGTATGAAAGATTGGCTATAGAAAAATATGAAGTCCCAGCATTTGCCATGGAAGATATCGATGAGTAAGTCATAATATACTTATATATTAGCCAACGTCGAAAACTGAAAGTAAGCCTACTAAATAATATTGTTTATTTCAATGGCCAATGAGATTTCGCTTAACTTAATTTACCTGCCGCCTTCCTCCTAACACCCTCTTTAATTTCATTATTTTATTTGAAATATAAAGTACCTAAAGTAGCCTCTTAAGAAATATTTAGGAAATACTTTTAACGTTAGTAAACAGACTTTTTATTAGAAACTTACTCAACTTAACAGTCTTATCGTAGCTTAATCTTTCTGATAAAAGTTAAATTTATTCTTGTACTTCATAGTAATCACCACACACCACATCGCTAATATGTTCAGTTGCTTCTAATGCAGAACTTTAAACGGCTTATTTTCGATAATACCTATTCGATACTTATATCTATAAACAAAGGTGACTGTGCAGTTGATTAGTTCTATGAACACATAACTCGAACTACTTCTCAGATGAAATTTAACATAAAACAGTAACAGTTCCTGCCGATTCTTCCTTGGTACAAGGTCTCCCGCCGTAGATAAGCGAACCGATGGTATAGTTTTCGACTTTGACAAGTGATTATAACAGCCTAGACTGAATAAATTATATTGAATTTGATTTTGTATTTTGAAATTAGAATTTGCAATACAGTCCTTTAACGTTGTGGCCAGATATCAATAGAAGGAGGCATATTGTATACATTGTTTTAGGAATTCCAAATTATCATGGCGTTAAGGGCAAACATAAATCTTAATCCACTGGATTTAAATCTGGACTAGATGACGGCCAGTCTTAAGCTCTGATAAAGTCCGGAAAGTTCGTTTCTAACCAAGATTGGGTGGATCGAGCTTTATGATCCGGCGCCAAGTCTTGTTGAAAGGACCATTCTTGGTTATTATACATAGTGTTGGTAAGGGCCTTAACTACCTTCTCAAGAATGGTATCTTGATACACTTGTGCCGATGTTTTGATGCCTTTTTCACAAAAATATGGCTCGGTCACTTCTTCATAGCTAAACCATCACTAACGTCGGATAGTTCCCACGTTGTACTCTGTTAACTAATCGTGAAGCTTCCTTAGAGCTTTGAGCATAAATACGGTCATTTTGTTTGTTAAAATAGTCTTAAGTCAACTTTTTAAATACATACGTGGCATGGTTCTAGGTGCTATCTTCATCTCCCAAGATAAAATATTTTGTTTCGGAGAGGATTTCTTAGAATTCTTTTCCTTACTGCTTTGATCGCCTTTTTCCTACGAACACTACGTGGACGGCCAGATCTTGTTCTGTCACATGCAGGTTTCATTGTACCTAATCACAGCGATGCGGTTCTCTTTAACACCCCAATCAATAATGTATTGGCGCGAAAATAGAAAAAGACCATGAAAAATCATATAAAAATAACAGATTCGTAATTCAAAAGTAATGTTTTTTTTTTAATTCTAATAGTATTTATGCACAGACTAGGTATATCTATAAAATCCAAGACAACACATATGTTATTTAAAACTTCTCAAGACCAGTGTTTACTGTTTAAGTAGAACGAAGGACAAATCATTCTACCTAAACACTGACTTTCCAGAATAAAATTATTTTTAAAGTACGATATTATTTTTAGGCATGGGATCCAGAAGTCCATAAATCATATCCTTAACGTATTGGATCCTTGCATGGACAAACCTATCCACGTGAGCTTCGACATTGATTCACTGGATGCGATAGAAGCACCTAGTACGGGTACTCCAGGTATGTAACACAGTTTTGAAAATTATATTTGATTTTTGTAGTTTACAAACCTTTAAAGTTCCTCGTTCTAAAGAACCATAATTTATCGTCATTTCCACTCGTGGTTCAACCAATAACTTCTCAAAGTAGGCATATAGTATTTCAGAAGCACTGTTTTAGGAAAAACAATACATAAACCCGACGTAACTTAAAAGTACGTAACGTAAAAATATTTAATGAAACTCTTATATAACTCTTTGTATTATAAAAATACCTTATGATTTTCATTACTGAAATATGTGTTTACTTCCACACAGTCCGAGGAGGCTTGACTCTTCGAGAGGCCATTTGTTTAATGGAGATAATATACTCCACCGGACGTCTGCGAGCCATCGATTTGGTGGAAATCAATCCCGCTTTGGGCAACGAATGTGACCGTCGGAGGACTATCGAAGCGGGCCTATGCGTGTTGAAGGCTGGCTTAGGATTCTCTAGGAGAGGCACTGCACCAAGAGGAGTGCTGGACTTGCCCGTGCAAACTCATCATGACCACGACTGTCCTGCTAAAGAACTGCGGCAAAATTGAAACACTTCCAACACATCATTAGATCTAATACCAAGAAAAATACTACTTACAAATGAATGACTCTTCTATTTAATAAATTTCAACAACAAAATTTTTTGAAATTTCTCTTACCTACCTCTCGAGGCTTGGAATTAAATTTACAAGAATTAGGAATTATCAGAGAAGCTTGATGGCACAGTGGCTAGCACGCTTCGTCCGCGATTCTTCAACTTTCAAGCAATTTTCGCAAACCAAACATAGGATGAGTGACCAAAAATTTATTATCTCGAACTCCTCCGTGCTTCGGAAGGCATGTTAAGCCGTTAGTCCTGGCTGTATTTACAGTCGTTAATACCAAGCAATCAGCACCGGAATCGCATGGTGGGTCATGGCCCATTCTCCCTTTTCGATTCGATTCCATCCATAGGGAAGGCCTGAGCCCCAGTAGTGGGGACATTACTTAAGCTGATGACGTGATATAACTGTGACACTACGATATATAGCAACTTCGGCGGTTCGTGTGGGTGAACGTTACACGCCTTACAGATACCGGGTTTAATGGGGTTAGGTTGGAATATAATTTGCTAACAGATATTATAAATTAGTTGAAGCAAAAGAACTCAATAATAATCTCCTTGTTATTCAGTACATAAAGTAAATTGTTACCTCATCGACTCTCTATTACCTAAAGTTCTTCTCAAAACATAATCAATATAAAAGTATGATTCGTGTATCTAATATCTTACTGAAACCTTTCCGTGGTAAAATTTATAAGGCAAGCGAAATGTTTTAATTAGAAACTGGATTTCTGAATTCGTTTGCAATACATAATAACCGTGACGGGAAGTTTACACCTTGAAAAAACTTATTGACTAAGTATTGAATTTCATTACAGAAATTACTATTTTGATTGATGAACACACATTATGAAACCAAAATGATTTTGTTTTTGGTGAGTGAGACATCAAATTCTTGTTTAATAGATTATAATGATAACGTCATTACTATATCATCAATTAAACGGGCTCAGTGCAGACTAGTCGGTGATAACGACTGTTATAATAACCTGAACATACGTTTCTAAACCCCGAAAGCGCGAGATAATAATTTTTGGTTACCCATCCTATGATCGGCTTTTGCGACAGTTGCTTGACCTCCGAAACGCAATGCGAACTAGCTAATTGGTCGTTCGATTACTCTTCGAGCTATATTTGGCCCATTACTAATTAACCAGTCAATCCCTGATATGTAGATATAGATATGAAGTTTATTCTAGTTTATGAATGTTAACCGTGATATAAATACAGAGAATCGCCTTCTACCTATTGTCCCATCACCGAGTCTAACTAGTCTCTAATCATTAGTTACAGTTAAATAATATATTATAGTATTAGCCCTACCGACCGTTTTAAACTGTAACCGTAGACTGTAACCGTAAACCGTAAACTGTAACCACCGATGGGTTAATTTATTTTAACGAATAATGTAGTCCCAACAAGGGGCCTTGCATAAATAACGTCACACGCTAGGGTATGGGTGAAATGTAACATAGGTAGTGTGACATAGTGGGAATGTGGGAGACCATAGCTTGCTATAACTGCAATAACGACACCGTTTTAAAAGACAACGATCACAAAATTCATTTTCATCGTCAAAGGATTAATGTAAAAGTAAAAATAATCGGCCGACAGTTATGACCCAATCTGAGGCTACCCGTGCTCGAGAATCCTTGCCGTGGCGCGCACACGTGTAAGCTAAAATTTTTACCCTCTATTGGGGCCCCCCACTTAATCTTAATTGGATTTTACTACTATAAAAAAGTGAAAAATAATACTTATCTCAAAAGCGAATTATTAGCAGAAAATGCTATTGAAGTCGAGCGGAGGTTTTGTAGTATTATTTTTACCTTTTAAGTTTGAAACCGTTTTAAGAGTTTTTATTTCATGCTTTTAAGTGATTTTTTTTTTGGATACAAAGCAGCTTCATCATCACCATCCTTCCTTCCTTATGCATGACTGCTTAGGGAGAATGGACCAAAGCTACTACGCAGTCTAGTGCGGATTGGTGGGTAATAACGACGATGCTGACGACTGGGATCAAAGCTTTACGGGCTTTATGAAGGGCTAACCTACAAAATAAAATCGAAATACAATTTTTTGTGGTCACCCATCCTATGACCGGCCCTTGCAAAACTTACCTTCCGCATCGCAGACGAACGCGCTAATTTCTGCACCAATGACCTGGTCCAGTGCAGCTTATAATAATAAAATTACTAAGAAATTTTGTATTTGTTTCCAGACATTCTTTATAATTGCTTTTGTACAAGGATTAAATCTATCAGATGAAGGCAGCGATGAACTAATGAAAAATATAATTAACAACCATTTAAAAACAATCCCCGACCCAGAACCTAAATACGTGATGAACGAAAGGCTCTCCAAAATGATATCTCACTTCTACCAAGGAAAAATAAAAACATTCCCACTTTACAAGATAACCCTCAAAATAGATAGGAAACCGGTAAAAATACCGTGGACTTTGGGAGAATCGATAAACCAGAACAACACTAAAAGCAATAAAAATATAAGTTACGTGAGAGTGAAAAAACCGGATAAATAAAACGATATATTTATTCCAATCGGGTTTTTATTTTTGAAGTTTTTTTTAAACATTTTTAGGCATTTATTACATACGGTATTCTAATATTACGACTGCGTTAACATCCAATGTTCCAATCATTAAAGTAAACTTAACGAAAGTGACGTCATTATATACATAAGTACATATATCAGTATATCAAATTTCCATCAATTTTGAACTTAACTGTTAACAGCATAAAGTTTAATATTAATAAGAAGAAAATAATGTTTTAGTTTTGATTCCTGCTATAATAAAGTTCGTTTTATTTCTTAACACCACTCTTTTAATTCTGATCGATTGGAGATATTTTAACCTTTTACAGTAAACTGACGGAATCTTTACATTGAATAAGTACACTTTAAAGTGTTATAAATACAAATGTACAAATATGTTATTATTAAACAAGGTTTAGCGTTGGAGTAGATTTACGCTGAGACTGCACTTAATATAAGTCAAAATTCATATTATTAAACGGAGACTTAGCAAAGGTTTACCTATTACGAGGTTCTACAAGAGAAATATTTACTCCTTGAAGGTAGAAGGTTTATTTATTCTCTGAAAATTTGACGACGCAAGACCTTTTTTATTAATAACATTGATTAACTTAAACCATGATTCGATAAAATTATATATATCCAACAAACTGACCAAAATCAAAATACTATTTCCACTCTGAAATGATACCTGTACATAAACGAAATTAAGTATTTGCCATTCAAATCGGAATTTTTATAGTGAATTGAAACATTTAAAGACAGCATAATCAATTTTGGAACATTATTATTTTTTATCAAGAACTTTGATATTTACAATATTGTGGTACTTAAGAAACATTCAGATTACATTACTGTATCTGTAACATTTAATTTTCTAGTACTAACAGAACAGTATCTGCTAATTTCACATAGTATATTAATATTTTCTACTGCAATTCTAACATGAAATTTTTAATTCAGTGATATAAGTATTTAAAACAACAAATAATAGTAACAAATGGTAATAACAGTGAACTTATACTATGTAGACTATGTCTCTTTTCTTTCTTATTTATAAAACAAAGACAGCAAATGTTTTTAACATGTACGATGTAGTTTATAATTGCACCCATTACTTGAAATCTTTCCTCTCTTTTCAAATAATAACTAAGAAATAACTCAAACGGGACTCTACTGCACTCGTAACAGAGCGCAGTTTTCAAATATTATACATCTGCATATCAAAATCAGGAAACCTTTAAAAGTAATATTTATTTAATGTTCTAAATATTTCAAAAACGCAAAAACATGATAACTGTTCTCAAACTCGATTTTCTTGAACAAAACCTAATTAGTTGCATTCTGTGATTTCGCATACTCTTTGATTTCATAGACTAATATCTTTCTTTATTGCACTTATTGCAACAGTATTTCAAATATCAATAAGAGCTGTGTATACTGATAAAAGTGAGTAACAATGATAGTGTAGAGTACACTGCCATGCCATGGATAAACTCGAAATAGTTTTTATGCGTGTTTGTACGATGTCATTTCATACATGTAAAACTATATATCTTGGGAAAAGTAGTAAAACTATATGAAACAAGCACACAACACTATTTCTTAATAGCGCAAATAAAAAGGAAGAGAAAATTGTATACGTATACGATACGTATTCTAAACGTAACAGGTCTTGTGTACTTGTGTGTTTACGATGTGGTTTTTTTCATTATTAATGCAATTTATTTCAGCTCAGTTTTTATATTTTGAATTCTCAATGTATTGATATTTATCTTATAGAAAAATACTAAAACAATGACTTTCTATTTGAATATTTCAAAGTATTTCTCTAAAAATAAATACCAACAATGTTTTATCGATATTAGTGTTTTGATTTATAATATCGCCCTCTATAATTATATATATTTTTGTCACACGTATATCTACACATTACAACATCAAGTTTGAAGAATTCATCCTCTTTTGAAGTTCACAATCAAAACATCGGACTTAATGCTAAGAACTCACAAAACGTTTTCCACGCGCGACCGCCCCGTTTGTGAAAAACAACGCCTGTAACGCCTTTAGCACACCAACGCATTCACATGCGAAAGCGAAACAACAAAATTCTATCAGTTGTATGGCAATATTTTAGATGTGCTTTGTCTCGCTCTATTATTAGTCCTTGTCAGTAATGTTTCGTAGGCAACTTCGTAAAACACAGATGATTCACTGGATTAAGTACGTCTATATAAAAATTTCTAACGAAACATCTACACCCACAACCCACGAATGTTACAATAACATTTCTTTACGAAAAAAGTGCAGCGTAGGTACTAGATATGCAGAACTTTAATTCGTAATAGAATCGCAGGGTTTCGCATAAGCACGCGAAAGCGTCTGTGTACTAGGGGTTGTAATTGTAGGTAATTCAATTTTGAAGACGCAATTTAATTGAACGCAGCCGTCCGTTTTCAGATTTTTTTACACGCTAAGTAAGCATTCGGTTTCACAACCTTGTATTTGAGAGCTTTGAAATAAAACAGCTGTCCCACCGCCGCAGCGTTTGCGAGTAAAAAACTATTCGTGAGTTCTTAACCTTAGAGGTTACGATGCACGCTTTAAGAATGAGACTAGTTATGAAATAGGGGTGTAGAATATTTTCAGATATTTTGTAATATAAATATTTAAATTAGAAAGTTGTTAATGTATAAAGGTCGTTATAATTGGACAAATAACTATTTTGAATGAACTAATGTGCTTGTTACCAGTAAAAAAAAATATTAAAAGAGTGTACATATTTAACCACTGGTGTTTTGATTGTGAGTAAACAATAATATTGATTTATTGGGAATGTAATTATCTAGAAATTGACTTGAGGTCGGAAATATTTCTGGAACTTGTTTGACTTGACAGATAATTTCATCTGCCATTTGGCTTGCACTCGCTTCATGAAATGGATATCTCGAGCTTTCCTAGAACAGAATTACAAAATTTACATCAATAATTCGCTTAAAATTATCAAACATTCTTGAATAGATGGTACTATCCTAAAAACAAAGTTATCCTAAAATCCTGAGCCTAAACTGCAGTAATAGCAAAAACAAGTAATCGAAAAAAACGGGTATGAAGTTTAAATGTTATGTATCTTTAACAAATCACTGTCTATGATCACATCTTGAATGCAAAGTGTAAGAAAAACATGAGAAAAAAATTAATAATAACCATTACAAATTTTATTACCTCTATTACTGCATCTAGTTTTATTGCCATATCGTTTAAAATGCAGTAAATCTAACTAAATGACAGAAAGTAGTTCAAAATTGTTACTGCATATTAATTTATAATCTTAGCGTATTTTCAGATAAATTTACAAAATTTGGTGCCTTAATTTTAAAAGAAACAGACAAAAAAAACTATAACTAGTCATAGAAAAAATTAATACATTAAGCTTGTAGGGTTTGAATTGGACTTTCAGACGATATGAAAAATTCAAAAACGCAAATTTTGTTGTTATTGCGGTTTAGGCTCAGGAGAGCAGTATTGTGGAAATCAAAATTAAATCCGTTACAATATATAAAAGTTCATATAATTTGAGCATCTCTGAAGTCCACTGTGTAGGTCAACCCAAAGAGATATTGAAGGCACTGGTCGACAGTACTTAAGCCCCCACTTTTGCACACAAAATAAGCACTCTATGTCGAAATGACGTGTTAGGTGAATTTAATTGTGCAACGCAAACAGGTCACCTCTTTCCTGTGTCTTTCGATTGACTCAAAAACTCCAGACGCATTAAACCGCTTAAAACACCAATGTTTTAGTGAATATAGAAGAATAGTAATGCGGAAGATTAGGCTGTATGGCTTTAAATGAAACTACTACTTACTTGGCTGCTAACGCTTGCTCCTTTGGCGCCCAACCTAACGCCCGATATACACCCAGAAGTCTGTGCAATTTTCTATCTGATTTCTTAACAATAGCCTGACTGTTATGGGTCAAGTTTTGTTTATAGTACCTGTAAATCAAATTCATCAATATAATTATTGTATTAAATTAAATGTGTGGGATATTCATGTTACTGCTATAAATATTCGCAATATATTTTATTATTCAATTTTTTAAATAACAACGAACTTACTTCATAAGTGAACGATGACCAACGACAACCCCAGAAGGTAGCACCAATTGGAAGTCATCACCTTCTAAAGCTGCTGGATTGTCCACTTCTTCGTCAATATCCATGTTCTCGTCACCTTCTTTGTGATCAGGATATGAAGAGCTGCAGACAGATTTAATTAGTTCTTAAGTTTACTACGACCATTAACTTTTTCTCAACAAAAATAATTTTATGTATAACACAACTTTTATTTTAATTTTCAATTTAGAATTTAAAAAAAAATATTTTTAGGAAATAGAAGTCAAGTAAAATATAATATTATTTCAATGTGGCGAAAGCCTGCAGGATTGTTTGAGGAGTGATGGGCTTCTTTTTCTTTGAAAAGCAAAATAGGACTTCAAAGTGCCTATTTTGCTTTTCATGCAAAACTGGCACTGCATGTTAATTTGCTAAAAAGGATCGTCATAGATACAACATATGATTGGTATACAACTACGGGAACTTGAATTTCCGATCTGATCATCTTCTTCAACAATAATTAACTCTTCAACAATTGTTTTTTTATCGGCGACATCAGTCTGCTTCGATATCAGATTCTATATAGATTTTAAAATTAAAAAAATATCAGTCAAGATTCATTGATTTTGAAGAACAATGACGGATGTATCAAGTTTAAAGTTTCTGCATCCTAATAACAATTCTGTCGCACAAACAAAATTTATCAAATTTGTAATAGCTAAGTCTAATTTTATTTTAATCCTGTCAAACTGTTTAGTTATTTAAATACCTAAGAACAGCAATACACTTATTAAAATAATTCGAGAAGACATGATAGCAATCCTCGATTTTGAGGAACAAGGGAGAAGTATAGTTTAGAGGTTAGTAAATAGAATTGGCACTACCATATCAATACAACTATTCCTTACTTGGAACTTACTGTACTAATGACTTAAAATGTCTTACTGAATAAGACATATAAGCCATTAGTACAGTAAGTTCCAACAATGTGGTGTATCATAAATTTTCTATATGTACAGGGCTGATGTTCTAATTCTGATGATATCATCATCAAACATATAATTTAAATGTATAGGGAGTTTTAATCCAATAAGAATGAGGCATAATATATAATGCATCCTCAGTAGGAAATTGGTAGATCACCCGATAGTATGATATTGAATAGTTCAGACTACTATGACTTTTCGCAATCAGGGCGAAAGCTCTAACCACTGAGCTACCCAGTTAGAGTAGTAGGTTCGAATCCCATCTCAGAGTATCAGGGATTAAGTGGATTTTTTAAGTATTTTTCATTAAGCTATGTATTTCTTGTTAAATGGAAGCAAAAAAAATGTATCTAACATTTTCTATCATCTGACTAATAGACTAAATAGTACTTCTTTTTTTACCCAGGCATCATCACAATGATTAATTAAGTATTATAATTAAATACCTATAGTCATAATAATCAGCATATTCAGCCAGTGCTAATCCTTCATGCAACATTTTGCAATGGCCTTTATTCACCATGTGAGCGCGAGCTGCTTCCATTGAATAAAAAGTTTTTCCTGTATCATTGCACCACAGGCACATATAACCTTGTGAAATCTGTAAAATAATAACAACTTGTAAAAGTTTATTCATTCATTACAACCTTAGAAAAAGTCATTGTTTATCTTATTGGTATCTAATCATTGTTTATCTGATTTATGTTACTGGTTATACACTAATATAGATATTACACCTAAATGCATACATTACACCTGGCCTTATTCCTCTATACATAGAATAATGACATTAAATAATTCATATATAATATAATTTAGCTCAGTGGCGTAGTGGATAAGCGCCGCGGCCCGCGATCGCTGTCGTTAAGTAACTTTCGCAAGGGTCGGTCACGGGATGGGTGACCAAAAAATGTTTATCTCCAGGTACTCCGTGCTTCGGAAGGCACGTTAAGCCGTTAGTCCATTACAATTGTTAAAGTCATTTACAAGGGCCAGCGTGGAGGGTCATTTCCCATTCCCCTTAACCGTCCATAAGGAAGGCCTGAGTCCCTGCAGTGGGGACGTAAAAGGGCTGATGATGATGATAATTTATTTCTGTTATTCTAATTTAGAGGTTGACTCTGTTTTTCCACATGTTCTTATACGTATACTATTAAGACTATAAAATCATATTCGTAAAGATTTATGTCTATGCATCAAAAATAATGTGAAGTCTCACTTATGTCAAATTATCAAAAAATTCCTTTCATGGTTTCGAAAATACAGAAAGCCTTCAGAGCACTTCATAGCCTAGGTAATACAAAAAATATCTCAACTTATATCAACATACCTTTTCTCCTAAATACAAAAGCAAGCCTTTCATATCAATACAATACTCCACATCGGGTATGAAAAATGAATGTGCTTCTGACATATGTTTAAGATTTTTCACCATATTTTTGCTATGGTGAGTACAGAATAGGCAATCTCTCGGTTTAATCAGGGAATCACTACCTTTGATACGGCATTCTTCCCACTCATCAGAATCAAGCTGTAAGAGAAAAAAAATGGCCCTGTGATAAATATTAGACTACATTATATATTTACTGGAAAGCAAACACATCTTCTTTCCATATAAATTGACTTAGGGTTATTATATTTATTACCACAAATGTTCATAATTTATTTTGAGAAAAATAAAATGTTATTCAGCTCTAAAGATCAATTCTGGTGTTGCAGGTGACTACTAAGACTTAGTTTTCGCTTTCCAGCACCAATATATTATGCTATTCTTAATTAGGTAGCTAAGAGTTTATGAAAATCTGCAATCACAAAGGAAATTTGAGAACAGGAAAGATACCTTGACTCTCAGAGCTATCAATATTTTAAAACCTCATAGCAAAATGGATAATCCATCAAAGATAGTCAATACTAAGTATTAACTTATTGTCATTTAGTACAAATAGAATTAGTTTTTGAGAATGAACATATGTATCTATATATTTTAAAATTCATTACTTTGATTACACACTTAAAATATAGTTTTAATGATCCTAATCTATTTTCATGGCTAATTTTATAAGTTATATTATAAATTAGCCATGAAAACAGATTATAATGTATAATTTAGAAGGAAAGTTTTTAAATTAGTTTACAGGGGACAATACTTAGAAATACTGATTGGATCATAAATATTCTTTCATCTATGGGAAGTTATGTGAAGAGTGATATTGGCTATAATTTCTTTGGGTAAAGTTGTCGTAATAGCTAGTTTTAAATGTAATCAAACTTAATAAAAAATTATTGCACAACTACATGTCATGTTATAAGGGTCAGTGCATATAGGATGGAATATGCATCATGTAATTATTAGTCTAGAAGAATGGGACTGGTGAGTAAATGAAATAACATTTAATATTGCACACTCAACAGACAATATTCCCTATAATAACACATACTTCCATGAATCACTAGACAGTTCTTCTGTCAGATTTGCACCAACCCTTATAACCACACACTCCACTCGCCCACCTCTTCAATTTCGGAATCAGTCTCAACATCTTCTTCTCCAAAATCAGCAGGGTTGACAACAACAAACTTTCCTGATGCAAGTTTGGAAGACTGGTTCGGTTCTACCTTTACAAAACTATCTGTATCTGAATGGACACTATGTTCTTCCTCCACAAACCGTTCCTGTGCCAACTTGTGCTTTTTGCTGTTTAGATGATTTGAATACGCATTTTTAGTATTGAATAATTTTGAGCAACACTTGCAATATTGAGAGTCATTTTGGTTATCATTTTCAGCCTGCTCTTTATGTTCTCGTGCCCTTTTTTCGAACTCTTCTAAAGACACTGGTGGTATATTAGCTACTTTTCGTTTTAAATTATACCTGTGCCAGTCTAGTTTGTAGTGTTCGCGCTGCAACTCAGGTGTTTTAAATATAACCTGGCAAGTAATACAAGTGAACGTATCAGGCATTGTCAGAACTTAATACAAATATCACAGATCAATGAACACAATAAACAAAGACTTTTTTTATTTTAATGAGACGACAATAAAACAACAATGCTCAAATTTAAAGGAAAATTAATATGCGTTTTACGTTTTTGCGGATCGGACACAGTTGGATACAAAGATTACAATATTGTTGGATACAAAGAGTAAACTGCTATAGATAACTGCTGTAGACAATCGTGGTCCCTCGCTCGTGAGGATTATACCTCATTTGAAGTCCTCGTTTCGATAAAATGAGGGCGTTATATCTCTTTACTTGTTAAGGCCTCGAGTAAGAGATGCACTCACAGATATTCCTCATTAAATTAAAATATTTGATTTTTACTTTATTTTATTTTTATTTTTACTCGGTTTGCCTTACTTCAACCGATTAATATTATTCATTTAAGATTACATTAAATAGACACTAGTTACAAGGAAATGTTAAACTAAACATAACTAAGTCATTCTATCAAATCATAAAATAGATATGACTCACTACCTCAATTTTTATTTTTATTTTTTAAGGAAGTATTTGAAAAATAAAAATTAGTTCTTGAAATCATACTAGATGTCACTCGCGATGTTTGGATTTTTTATGATATTCATCAAATTTTGTTTTTGACGTAATAAAAGTAAATTGATTATCAAAAATTAATAAATATAACATCGTTTTGTGTTTATTATAATATCTAACTTTCAAAATTATTTTAATCGTAAGTTTAAGTTGTTTATTATGTTACGTGTAAAGAAAGGATGTTTGATTGATACGACAACATTAGTGATGAGCCAACTTATTGGTTGCTCAAAAATCGGAGCGCAGAATTCAGCTTGTATTTGTATGTCTCATTATGCATCCACAAAAGAATGCTATTAATATAAATATCAAAATCAATTCAGTCTAGGCTGTTACATAGTACTTGTAAAAGTCGAAAACTTTGCCAATGGTTCGCAAAACTAAGGCGGGAGATTTAGTACTAACAAGAATCAGCAAGAAACTCAACAAGGGCTGCTTTTTTAATTTCAACAATACAGCTCAACTATAATATACCTAACGCACACAACACCACCGTAGAGATTTTAAGAAAGCATGACTACTCTACGTACTTAGTAAATAATATACTTCAATAAAACTGAGTTCTAGAGTAGGTTGTATAGGAATTCAATCTATTATATTATTAACTATATTATTGTAAGAACCAAAAAGCACATACCCACCGTACGAATTAACTTAACACATGACTCGAAGTCCGCCGTCGACATGCAAAATCAGTAGCAATAGTATAATAAATGTACGCGTCTTTGTGATAATGAAATTTTAAGATATTACCTTTAAATTTCAAAATTACATAGACACGTACAGTTCGTTTAGAACAGACGTTTCTTGTTGATTGCTGAATGTTTATTAAGATTTAATAATTATGAATAAAATATTTAATAACTGATCACAGATTTTTTGAAGTCTTAGTTTCGAAAGGACAAGTTATTTGCACGTTACACTTTGTCCAAACGTCATGTCGTTATTATAATTAAAATTACTAGACCTACTATGGCATAAGTATTTTATTTATAAAAAATATTTGGCGGTAAAATCATTGTATACTGTAGCTAAATGCCACTTTTAATTATATCACAGCACTAATTCAATTGATTTCCATAAATTAAAAAAAATCCTCTGTGTTCACTTCCATAATGTTAGTTTCCATTTCCTCTATACAAATAAAAAAGAAATTTATTTAAAGATTACTTTGTCGAGTTGCGTTTGTATAACTCGAACTAATTAAATTTCAACTCGATATTAATCCGAGTTATCAGATCTATAACAACACTGACAATTCTATTCTCTTTGGTTTAACGTCATGAATTCTTATTCTTTTTAATTAATGGCTTATCTGCGCATTTCGCACAAGACGTTAAGATCCAACAATTTGTGCTGCCATCTAGTGACATAATTTTTTGTAGTTTTTTTGTAGTTACTTCCTCATTCAATCAGAAGGCTTATGTTTTATTTTATTTATTTGTGTATTAGAGTATAAAAGAATCAGGATACGATAATTTAGTGATTGAAAATCTCTTAAGTTTTCTCCATTCTCTATTCTCCATTCAGTTGCTGTTTACGCGCCATTTATAAACAATTCAATTATAAACATGTCTTTCATTTGGGCACATAAAGAGGTTAATTAAAGTGAAATATTTTTTGTAGGAATAAGAATTTCTGTTAATCAATTTAAAATATATTTAGGAATCAGAAAGCTCCTAAAAGGATAATTTGAATTTTATTTTTCGTAAATATTAGGTAATAACGAACCATTTTTATTTTCCGTTATTTTTTTGAATTCCGTTATGATTTCAATTTAAAAAGTTGATTCAAGTATGAAAAGTAAAAATTATTAAATGTAATTATCACAGAAACACATAAAAAAATCACTCAATTTAAGTTTCAATGTTGTTTAATGTAGGAAAATGTAAATATTATAGTAATCTACATAAATGTAAATAAAATTTGTAAATAGCCATTTATTTTTAATATATCAACATAATTATTTCAAACTAAAAGAATTCATTTGCAACCGTTTCTTATATCTCGCTCAGTTCGAAAGAGAAAGATTCTGTTCTCTTCTGAACTGAGTAAGATATAAAAGATAGATATATATCTTCTAGCTAAAAGATATATATCTCTCTTTTCGCTTATAATAAATGATATACATTGCGCAAGGCTAAATGGATCGCTAACAATGCATTCTGTCATGTGTGAATGAAACGACAACAGGATATCACTAATTAGGTATACGTTTATACGTTACACGTAGCTCGGCTATCGGAATGATCAAGTAACCAACCAATAATTGAGCTTTATCGCGTTTATATAAGAATAAAATTCGCTTTGACTTTGTAGCGTTGTGAAAATAACTAGTTATCAAAAATAGGCAGTTTTGAAAGAGATTGCGTTACGTGATTTAACAAATGGATAACGACTCATCGCTAATGAAAAAGTATTAAAAAAAAACATTAGTTCCCGAAATCAAACTAGATGTCGCTAAAGTACTTTCTTTCCATTCATTCCGGTTTTCTTTAATGTATAAAAGTCAATTAATTTTCAAAACTTCATAAACAACTCATATTCTATTTGTTAAAAGGAACGGAAATTAATTTCTTTGGTCCATTCGTTTCCTGCAAAAATCAATCATTGCTAGTGAGGTGCTTTTTAGTGCAAACTAGATGTCGCTACGGTACTTTCTTGATTTTTCCATGACAGCACTTCCGGTTTTCATTCATTTATAAATGTAAATTCATTTTTAAAATTCAATAAACAACTCATATTTTATTTGTACTTTTTCGTATTTGTATTGATATCTAACTTTCGAACTTTTCAGTTTTTTAATATGTTAGTCAATTGGAACGGTAATGACTATCTTTCCATCCATTAATTTCCTGTAAAAATCAACTTTTCTAGTCTTTCTTTTTTTTAAATACTTACTCATTATATATTTTGTCCATCGTCTCTTTGCGTGTAAACGCCACTAACAAGACATTAGCAGAATCATGTAAAGACACTTGATTTTGATAATTATTGATAGCGATGTGCCGAGTCGTTGTTTTAGTGGATCGAGTCGATTCGAGTCGGTTTATACGGTATTCGAATCATGACTCGATTCCGCAATTCGAGTAAAATCCGAGTTCTATGTTTGGTATTCGAATGTTGACTCGAGTCCAGGACTCGAATCTAGAAATTGGAGTCCAGAATCTAGTCTGGAAATTCGAGTCCAGAACTCGAGTCTAGAAATTCGAGTCCAGAACTCGAGTCTAGAAATTTGAGTGCAATACCTATATTATAACAAAAAAGTAAAATCAAAAAGGAATAAAAGGATTAGCATAATGACACATCGATTATAAATCGAACATTTATTATGAAAATATTTTAAAGACTACAGAAAAAGACATAGAACGTACTTAAACATGTCTAGGAACCAAAATGAGATCAAGTTCTATTTGTTTTATTACATAACAAAAGGCGATATTTTTAGAAGCTTTTTATGTACAGTACCATAGTACCTAAGTTATAAATATTAAAAAATATATGAAAGGTAGATTAGTTATCAGCCAAAACAAAAAAGAGCTAATAAATATGTTATTTGAACTAACTGTTCAAAAAAATTATTTGGTCAACCTTCTTGGATTCTAGACTTGAGTCAGTTGGACTCGCATAATAGAATCGAGTTAACGAGTACAAAATCGATTCTTCCTGACTCGAGTATCGGAGTCGAGTCCGGCGTATTCGAATCAAAATTAACTGGTATTCGAGTACGCGAGTCCAAAGCAGGAATCGAGTCTGACTCGAGTCAAACCGTACTCGGCACATCGCTAATTATTGATAAATACCTGTGAAAAATACCATTTTAAAATGTACATAGCACGCAAAATTCGCAAAAAATAAAAAAGAAGATATAATCAACGCACAATTTAATGATAATATTATTGTTTTTCTGTGTAAATTATACGCTCATCAACTTCTGAGTTCCATGAGTTGGAAAATATCCATAAAATTTGTGATATGAATATAAGACACGGTTTTATATACTTTTGATAATCGACTCGCATTTATTATTGCAACAAATTTATAATAATGTTGCATACAGAGGATATAGACGATGACTATTTTACACCAGCATCCAGGTAAAAATACATATTCTACAATAGATAGGCACTTAATAAGTACTTATTACTAACAAGGATTTCAATTGTCATTGTCGATTACATATTTTATTTTGCAGCACTTCATTAGCAAATATTTTTGGTAAATCTCGGAATGAAGATATAACTGAAAATGAATCATTGAAATATACACCTCCAAAACCAACAAATCTTATACCAAAACCAGAAGAACAAAAACCAACACAATGCATTTTTGCCTGTGCATTAGTTGGTTATGAATGGTTTGTAATTATTCTATAAAGCATAAAACAAATTATATATGAACTATTGCATCTCAAAAATATTATACTTTTACAGGTCAAACAAAGATTATATCAATAGAGGAAAATTGGGATTTGCAATTCTGAACATTGTAAAAACTGGTGTGCATAACATAATTTTATATGACTCTAATAAAGTTACTTTATCAAGTGCAACCATTTCAGCTAAATTTGAGGTAACAATCAAAGAGAAAACATATTTTTCTTATTTAGATAACCTACATAAGTATTGGAGCTTATATGCCTCTGAAGATGAACTAACTAAAATATTGAATTTGTTAAAAAGTTTTGATGTTATGATAAAATCTTCAAGTGAAACTGATAAAGGCCCTGCTGAGTTGACATCAGTGGAAACCTCTACTGTAATTAATGAACAGGCTGATAATAAAGAAACGGGAAATGATACTGATTCTTCTGTAAATAGAAGAACTAAACTGTCCTTATTAAATAGAATGGCAAGCATGGGTCAATCTGTTTTACCACTTCGTGTGGTATCTCATGAGAGATCCAGTGATTCTTCTGACACAAATGATACTAATGATTATAAGACCATTAGACATAGACCTATTAAGAATGTGGTTAAAAGAAATAGTTCAGATAAGAGTGTTGTAGAATGTCAATCTTTAATAGAAACACAGAAATTATTACCTAGAAAAGAACATTCTCCAGAAAGTATGCCATTATTTACATATCTTAATGGTCAAGTAGTGCCTGTAACTAATACTAATATAATAACAAGCCCAAGTTCAAGCAGTAGCAATGAAATGAATTATTTTATTACTGAACAAAGAATGAACAATAGTGAATTAAGAATTAATATAAATAGAGTTTCGGACAAATTAGATCAAATGTTAAGCAAAGTAGTAAACATAGAAAGTGGCGATAAAAGAACTAATCAAAGTCAATTCCAAATGGAAGTGTTACAAAAGTTACTTGCAGAGTATGAGAATAAGATTAAAGTTTATGAAGAGTTCATAAACAGTAACAAAGGTGCTGACAAAAGTATAAATGTTACTAAATTATCTAGAAATTCATTATTGCAACAAACTGAACCATCAAATGAAATTAAGTTATTAAAAAATAAAATAGACCAGTTACAACTAGTTTGTCTTGAAAAGGATGAAAAGATTATTAGATTGGAAAGTGATATTAAACACATTCAAACAAAATATAATGAGACTGCTACTAGCAATCAAAATCTTATTGATAAATTGTATAAGGAAATAGAACACTTAAAGACAGAAATGGTAGGAAAAGATGAAGAATATTCCAATCTGATGAAAAAGTATAAATCACAATCGACTAAACCTGTAGATGAAAATGATATAGAAAACAAAATCAAAAATATAATGAATAACACTTTTCAGGCCATATCTGCAAACTTTGATAATAATGAAAGTTACTCTGGTGAAAGAGTGAAAACAGTTACAGGTACAGTTATTAAAAGGGTTACCATAGAATCATTAAATAATATTTAACATAGAAAATTGTATAAAAACTTGGTATTTTTTTAATGCTACCATACCAATACTATTGTTTTGTTTTGGATGAGTTATTATTTTTTTTATTTTTATATATGTTTTATAGTGTCTTTTGTTTCTAGATAATGTTTTTCACATTGTAATTATTTTTAATCATTATGTTTAATACAAGCAAACAAGAATATATTAAATACAATGAAAATATCTATTCTGTATATATTTAGAGCATTGTCAGTATATTAGATATTTGAAATAAAAATATTAACAGTACTGTCACCCAAAAAAGTGTAGTGTCTGTATCTAAATAAGCATCAGCATTATAGCGTTTACTCCCTGTATATAAGTCCCGTCCCCATTAAAAGAGAAAACAGGTGCATGTATGCCTGCCAAGAAAACTAGATAGGCAATATAAAATCTTGATGCCTGCTTAATATTTTGTAAGAAAATAATGAGAACGCATAGTATAGGCCATATTCATAAAATATTTCTTTTTATAGTGTGTTAAGTAGGTACCTAATTAATATGGTTTTAGATTTTGTTAATGCGTGTCTACACCGTACAAGAGTCGCCGCCCGTCCCGAATTTTACGGGACAGTCAAATACTATGGTATCCCGCGACTCGATTTCTTATAAATTATGTCCGAATTTTTGATAACGCTCGACAATCACTCCATTCGCGCCTTAGGTCATAGATCACAAATTATATATTTATTATTCGCGTCTTAGGTATTAGATAACAAATTGTATAGTTTTTATAGAGTAATTATTATATAATTTGTGATATAAGACCTAAGGCGCGAATTATATAATTAGATCACTTAGGTCTAATTCTTTTTAATTAATGGCGTTGCTCTTGTGGATTTCGCTGAATTCAGTGTTTCGCTCAGTTTGTTTCATATTTTATGACATTTTGAAGTCCGATTACTTCTGAAGATCCTTCGGATGTCCTGAATTTTGTTTCACAAAAAGTACCTAACAACCCTGACAGTACTACAAATGTAACATTAATGATGTATTATTTAAGTTTTTATGACAAAAACCTGCTTACTTATTGATTATTTTAGTCGTACTGTCGGTATTTTGTAAAGTATCATCCATGTAAATAAATATATTATTTCACAGAAATAGCCTCGAAATAATTCAAATCAAATCAAATCAAAAATATTTATTTGGTACTTACACATAGGACACTTACAGATAACCAACAGAGAATCAAAATTAACAGAAAACACAAAAGACAAAAATTAATAATATTTGAGTAGTAATAATTGTGATCTCTAAGGTTTTTTTATATTTAAACAAGCGTTTTCTTTTGTTTGACTATAGAAGCCTTAAAAGGATATTCAAAAATGTTTTAAAAATAGCTGTACAAACGGATTCCTTTTGCCTTTATGTAATAAAAAAAAATTGGTTAAAAGATGTCAAGTTGAATAAATTATTATTAAATTACATCTCTAATATCTTTGCAATGAAGTCGAAAATCTATTTGTAGTTGACATACCAATGTGATGCATATGCTGTGCCCTGTAATTCTGTTTTCCTATATATATATGTATATATACTCTTAGGTATATATCCTTTCCTGTATTATCTATGCGTATATTATGAAGTCAATTAATTTAAGTGATTTGTATTTGTTTGTGTTGTTCTAGGTAAATCGACATAGAAAGTGATTTGCTACATATTTCAATTTGGTTATATTAATTTATTATACCGTTTAGTAGGTAGTAGGAGACCGCTCATACGTGAAATTGGCAGGATTGTGGTTAACACAAAATAGCCATTAAGTTAGAAGAAGAGGATCCTGTGCATGGTCCAATTTGCGGTTGTTTAGTTTAGTATTTTACTTTAAAAATACTTTTGAATAAAACAGGAAAGCAAGCAATACTATGGACGAATTAAAAACGTCTATCGAGCAATACAGAGGGCAAGTACGTTTAGAGCAGTTCATTACTTTATTGATTATGATACCCACAATAAACCACCAGATTAAAAACACTGTTTTATTACATTAGATTAAACACATAATATATTAGCAAACTTAAATTTATTGCGCATGCAACTAATAAAATAATACCTTTTTTAAAGTTAGGTATACTTATGACTGATTTAAATTCATTTCTAGCTGTCCATGGTTAGTGAAGCGTTATCAACAGTACAAGATGACGACCAGCGTGAATCTCTGTTAGCTTTACAATCTGAGTTGCTAGAGCTCATCCAACTTACTCAAGAGAACTTGGATGCCTTAACAGTGACTGAAGAAACCTCAAATAGTACAGAAAATTCCCAAATCAACTGTACTAACAATGAAAAAAGTGTGTTAGATGATGAGTATGCCTTATTCATGGTATGTAAAAGTAGTTTTGAAGTATTGATTGTACACTTAATTTAATAACACACCTTATTTCAAAATTAAGGTCCATCATACAGAGTAGTATAAGAAGTTATTTTAACACATAACTATGTTATTCGTTAAATAAATATTACATCTTTTAGTATTACCACATGTTGTTTGAATGAAAAAAACCAAACAATGTATTATTTTTAATTACACTATAGAAAATGCTTACACATTGCTTATTATAAATAGAATCAATAAAAACTAAAGATAATATAATAAAATTTCATGTTCAGAAAGCATTAATGTGTTAGTGATCAAGTTGTGGTTCATGTTATAAATCATTTGTGCAATTTAGTTTTAAGGTTTTAAATTCTCAAATGTACCAGTGCGCCTATAATTTCAAACCCATAGCTTATTGTTGATTCATCTTTTACAGCAAGAAATGGCCAAGAGTGGTGCTTATGAAGAAGATAAAAAAGAATCCTCAAAAGACAAAGCTGAGACAGAAAATGATGGTGATAGTGACATCGAGGTATCTTTATTTGTAGCTATAAAAGGTTCATGCACAAATAAATATGTACAACTGTTGTCAATAATAAATTTGATTCAAAAATTAAATAAATTAGATAATTGTATACAGGGAGGAACAAAATGACTGACACAGCCGAAAGTTTCAAGTTAGGTTACATGCAAACGTTCATTTTATTTGACAAATATTTAAAAATAGAGGAGGTGTAAAAATGGAGTAAAAATTTTAAATTTCTATGTGTTGACAGCCCTTTAACGCGCATGCGCCATATCGATTTTACGCAGATTACAACGGACCGCGAAATACATTAATTTAATTTAATTATTTACCGATATCTTAATGATAGTCGATGCTGAAAATGTTCAATTCTTCTCTGAAGACAGCTAAGCACGCTCTTTTGCATGTCAGTGTACGCACGCGCAAAACACATCACATCACATTTCACACAAAACTAAACACAATCTTCACTAAACTAAACTTAACACTCTAGTATCTTATTAACAAAAATTCAATTAAAAATGCACTAGAACAAAACAAAAATCGACAAAAAAAGACGCTTCGCAGCGGTGCGTCGGCGGCGATGCGCAACAACACTCCAGCGCAAAAGGTCGGTGGTGACTGAGCGGCCAGAAAATACCGACAGAATAATGAAGTCGCCTAGCGGCTGGCTGGTGGGTGGGGCTTTGATATCGAGGGATGAACTCGGTTCACATTTTTTTTATTCGTCTTTTGATATCACGCATTTTTTAATGTTCTTTTTAAATGCTATTTAATAGCAAATTCCTCAATGTTTTTAAGACAAAGTTCATTTGTGTTAATGATGAATCGCTGGAAGATTTGTGAGTTTATAGAGTTTAATTAACGACCCCGTTGTTAAAGGAGTATTACCCCATTCAAACCTTTTTTTTTTGGAGAACTGCTCTTTTAAAATAACGTAGGTTAATATTAGACTGATCTCTCTACAATAATTTAGGAAATTTACCACTCGGTATCTTAATTGAGAATTTAAAGTTAAACATCTCAAACTAACATCACTTAGTTTTCGTTTCCGATTTTAGTTTTTTGATGATCAGTTGATAGCAGTTTGATAAAATTGATAAAACTAGGACTATTTGACTTGTGAAATTAAAAAAAAACTTAGGTTATTGAGAATAAGTAGTAGAAATTTTCTACTTTCAAATCAGAATCCGGCTGTTAGCATTTTGACTGCCTTGTTTATTGATTGTCTGGTATAATTTGCATGAAAGCAGTCTTATAAATCACAAACTAGTTTATTTCGTTTTTAGAAATGAAGAAGTCAATGACCGATTAAAACTTTTCCTTAGTACGTCCCAAAAACAGCTGACTCAGGGTTGAAAACACTCATTTGTTTTCAAAAACTTTGTAATTTAATATCTCCGAAACTATTTGACCTAGACTTATTCTTTTTTACATCATATTAAAGACAAATAGTACTCTCTAGGAATCTCGGGAGTGTCGGTCGTTCTGTTCCACCGAGTATATGCTAAGAAATTATTTTCTCATGTCTTAGTTCAATAATTTAGAATTCTTTCTGAGATTTGGAATTTTAAAGTGGGTATGCAATGCAGGATTCCATTGAATGATGATGTAGTACAGCTTACACAGCAAATTTAGCAATTTGCTTAACAGAGTGCTCTCAAAGAGACTAGTGTTACTCAATTTCTATGGAAAGTTCTTAAATGTATATAGAATTATAATTTATTTTGTTTTTGTGAAAGGTAGTTGAAACACGAATGCTTTACTGTGACAAATTAAAAAAAAAATTGCATACATGTAAGAATCCTCATCTATCCATCTATTTATATAGTATAGTTTTAAATAGTTTTAATTTCAATACAGAGTGAGGCAGAAACGTATAAATGTTTCTACTTGAAACAATGGAATATTTAAAAGAGAATTTTTAAAGCTATATTTGTCATATAAAATGCATTGTATGTAGTGTAAAAATAATTATTTTGTCACAGAACGAGTTAAGTACCCTATTGGGCATGAAATGTGCTGTGTATCACACACATAAATGGGGTGGTCAGCCTACACTTCATAATGCAATGGTGAGCGAGCTGGTACCCCATCACGATGACGACAAGTTTAAAGATCTACAGGTAAATAGTCCCATCACAAAGTACTTGTAGCTGGTATAGCCATTATAGCACTGTGAATACAAAAGATGATAAATAATATTTAAAAAAAACTTGGGGCATGCGCGGCCGATCCCTGGTGTATGCGAGACACCTATTGCAGTTGCCTACTCTGCCTTAAGATTAATCTGCCCCTGTGACTATGGAACCCTTTTGGTAACCAAATATTTTATACATGTAGTAGAAATTAAAGCTAAAACTAGGTCAAAATTTAATATCGGAAAGAGAGATTTTTTAAAATAATAGTGAATATTTTATAATTTCTATTACTTTTTAATTACGGCTTTGAGGCGCGAAGTCCTTTGCACCGCGAGCGCCGTACTGGCCACAATGGGAAACGCTGACTTTGTCTAACGTAACGTGTTATTGGTTGTACATAATACATACTTTTACACTTGACCTCGAAATACCTTTGTGCCAATAAGGTTCAAATTTCCTGCACATACAATAATAAATACTCCAATTATTTATCTATTGCTACAGGTACGAGTGCTGTTTACACATCCAACTCATGCAGAAATGCTGCCTTGTCCATTTTACCTCGAAGGAAAATGCAGATTTGAAGATGAAAAATGTAGGTGAGTTTGTAAAGGCTGTTCTTATTTGTTTTAATGTCAATAATAGATAAAAAAAATTTTTTTTTTTAAATTTTGAATTTTTAATAAAATATAGGTAATTCATCTCTAATAAAAAGTTAAATTTATTATTATTTTATTGTCACCCATCCAGTGACCGACCCTTTCAAAAGTTGCTTAACAATAACGATCACGTGCCGCGCCCCTTGTCCACTACGCCACCGAGTTATTCAAGTTTATTTAGAAATTGTATTTTTTCACAATTTCAAAGGACTAGATCTGAAAATATAGTTTCAATATCAACTCGACATCTTCACGCGTTCCATAAAATTAATGGTCTTGACAAACTAAGTTACCCTACAATGGTTATCCTTCTCCTTTTGATATACAGAAAACTAAAAAGAAATATTCCTTATTGGTTTCAGATATTCACATGGAAATGTAGTGCCATTATCCGATTTGAAAGATGCTATTGATCCAAATTTCGAATCAATAAAAATTGGTAGTACAATATTGTTGAAGCTGAAACCACCAGATGGGGAGGTATTGAACAATAACTCATTTTGTCATTATAACGTTATTTGTTTAATTAACTATAAATATATGTTCTAGCTATCCGCCAGCGACTTGCCCGAGTGATCCTATATTATACATATAAACCTTCTTCTTGAATCACTGTATATCGATGAAACTGCATTAAAATTCGTTGTGTAGTTTAAAGGATATCAATGTACAGAAAGTGAGAAAAGACTACTATGTAATAGATAGCAATAAATTACAATTAGACAAATATTAGTCCTGTAAAATATATTGCCTGTTAATAAGGTTTGTAATTATCAAGATAATTATCCGATAAATATCTGATAATTATCCAAAGTTACTGGCAACGTTTTTTTTTAAATACAGATAGGCATTCATAATTGAATGAACTTCTATTTTTGTCATTTTAAGTTATAAAAAAATATACAAACTAAATTAACTATCAAATCACATTGAACAAAAAGGAAGATAAATAATAAAAAAAAATGAATTAAAAAGGGGCTTTGAATATTATTTTTTTTCGTATTGTAGGTCTATTCTAGACAATTTTCTGTATCAGAAAAACCATATTTGATAGTTGTTTGAAAATTATTAAAGTACAAAAAGAATTTGTGTAATGTTAATATTTTTCCAAAAAACAAACAAAAATTAGTCATCATCCCTATTATCAAGTTATATTTATCAAATAATTATCGCGATAATTATCACTTTGAACCCATTCTGTTAAATAAAATTTTTGTAACCCTATATTTTTTAGTTTCTAACCCGTAAATGTTATGCTATCTTTTAACTTTTCAATCAAAAAATATTGTAAATTGTTTTATTACAGGATACAAGTTTAACTAAGACAACATCAGAAAAATATCATTTATGGCACAGAGCTGTCGTAAAGAGTGTAGATTTAGATAGTAAAACTTGTCTAGCTAAATTGGAACATGGCGTGAGAACAGGAGAAAAGCGAAAGTCGGCTACTGAAGAAATACATGTTAAATTTGAGGAGATCTTCCCACTGAACGGTGAGCTATATATTTGTATTTCATTAAACACTTCGCATGTACATTTTTTATATAATACATGAATTACTATGTTATTTATAATAGAGATTAATTTTTGTATGTCTGTCCATCGGGCATGTTATTAAAAAATATCTAATAACGTATTTTTTGCATAATCAATAAGTTACATTGAGTTGAAATGTCGCATCACGTCACACTTGTATCCCACCCCCACTCCTCAACTTTAATGCCTATTATCTTAGCCATTTCTAGTCAAATTGAAGCAAAAAATACGTGTTTAATATTTTTCAATAATCTGACTGACAGAATTCTGTTTTCTGATACCGAAGCATCAACCCTATTAGCAAATTTTTCGGTTCCTCCGCGATGGCCCAATGTGGATTGGAGGGTATTAACGATCCGAAATGCAGCCGGGACCAACGGGTTATAGTAGCTCGACATAATAACTTTTGGTCACCCATCCCGTGACACCCTTGTGAAAGTTGCTTAACCAACCATCGCGGGCCGCGGCGCTTATCCGCTACACGAAAGAGTAAATTGAATAAAATATATTGTAAGTGTAAAATAATAATCAAAAGTTAAATTGGTTTATTCAGCTGACGATGACGACTCCAGTGATACGGATGACAGCATTAGTGACACTGAATATCCAGAAAGTAAAACTATGCGATCTGATATAGAGAATGAAGGTCGAGATCTTCTTATAGAAAAGAGTTTACTTAGTAACATTCCAGCGATGGGAGAATGGGAAAGACACACGAGAGTGAGTATGTATTCAATTTATATAGTGTCACTATACTACACTATCATATAAAAAAAAATTGCAATGAAATCAATTATAATTAAATTCAATCGAAATTAAACCTTTAGTTGAATGATTTTACACTATTTCTCAGTTTCGTTCTTTTCACAATCTCATCTCAGGAGATGTTATGATTTCTTAACGAAATAATTCTTAAATGAATTTACAATTGTATGTAAATGTACATATCCATGAATAGTTTTGCGTTAATAATATAGTGTTATACCAATAGGTTATATTTTGCTTTTAAATATACTTTTTGTCTGAATGAAAATTAAAAATCTGTTCAATTCCAGTACCATACCAGTTTCACTATTATGAACTTTTTTAATTTTATAAAGTCGATATATAGTCAGGATTAATACATTCTATTAAATTAAATTAATTAGTTTTGTATTATCCTAGCTGTTTTCCCACGGCTTTTCCCGTGTTAATTATAGGCTATGTCAACCGCATATTATGTAGCTTCCTGTAGGTGACATTTCGAAGGCTATTCAATACAAACAAACAGACAATAATTTCCTCTTTATAATATTAGTATACATAAAGGCTATGTAAAATAGCTAAGCGTCTCATAAACTGTAAATAAATGCCATATGTATATTCTTTGTGACATGCTATAGGGATAATGCATTTGTAAAAAAGGAAAGAAATTCTATTTAGTCCGTCAGTCAGGTAATATAAAAACATTAGACAATTTTTTTTTTATTCAGTTTAACTAGAAATGGCTCAGATAATAGGCATTAAATTTGAGGAGTGGGGGCTCGCTACGTCACAACTGTGTCTACAAAAGTCTTGTGACATTTCAACATAATGTATCGCCGTAATTTGTGGGTTATGCAAGATATTTAAAAAAATATGTGCTCTTAATATTTTTCAATACATCTACCTGACGGACAGACAACAAAAATTAGTTATTATCCCTAAACATAAATATCTTCTAATATATAAAAGGCAAACCTGACTGACTTACTTATATGAACGCCGAAACGTGATATTTGGTACAGGGGTTCCGTTCAAGAAGTAAGTGAGCACTAAGAAAGGTTTTTCAAAAATTTAATGCCTAATGAAGCTACATACAGAGGTGAAGTTTATGTGGACCACGCGGACGAAGTCGCTGGCTAACAGCTAGTCTATACTAATATTAAAAAGAAGAAAGATTTGTTTGTTTGTATGCATTGAATAGGCTCCGAAACTACTGGGCTGAATTAAAAAAAATTCTTCACCTACGGAAGCTTTTATTTACATGTGCGGAGATGTGGAACAGCTAGTAAATAAGTAATATCAGGGTGTCGCAATCCGGTTGACTGCTCATAAAACTTAACTACCCAGGACCTTATACGACTGAGGAATCTTTCAAGTAGCAAAGTCCTGTTTAAGAGTACCTTGACCTTGGGGCAAAGTGGATTTCTTAAGCATTTTTCATTAAGAATATCTTTCAATATAGCATTGTGAATGCAAAATTAAACAAATACAAGGGTTTCATTGTTAGGGTATCGGGTCTAAGTTGATGTTGGCAATGGGTTACGTGCCGGGCGGCGGTTTGGGCGCGGCGGGCGAGGGCCGCGTGTTGCCCGTAGAGGCGCACGTGTCCACCGCCCGCAGTCTGGACGCGTGCATGGATATTAGCGAGAAACGTGCGGCACAGGATCCGCTAAAGGTATTGTATGACATACTTTGATATTATACACCGAGGGCTAGTGATAAAAATGTGGTAACCTGACGTGCTATCGACTATACCTAAAGTATGTGTTTTAGGGTACCGTACATAAATGGTAAAATGTGGACCCGACCAGGAATCGAACTCGGAACCTAAGAGATAGCGACACCTCGAAATCTTTGTGGGATTATTCTGCCTCATTACACAAAAAAATATGAATGAAAGGGTTTAAATAAAATACATAGATAATTATAAATTTCTCTATTTACATGTGCTGATTTTAGTTTAAAATAAGCGTACATGGCATAAAATTACAATTGATACATATGCACAGGATCCGCTCAAGGTATTGTATGCAATACTTTGACATTATAGACCGAGGGCTAGTGATAAAAATGTGTAAGAACTTTCCGGATCCGAGTGGTTTGCACGCCGGCTTCAAAGGTCAAATTCAATATAATTTATTCAGTCTAGGCTAGTTAGTCTAGGCTCGGTACGCAAATGTAGGGTGTACTGGTACTGAGAAGAATCGACAGGGAACTCAGCAAGGACTGCTTTTTTCCTCCCCGTTTTATTTTTAGAAGATAAGTCAGTCTTATTGGGAAGTAACTTCATTAGATTATGAAGTCACTTTCCATTACAATATCAGAAAGAACACAACAGATGTTTTTCGATTACTGATTAATATAGGTGTCGCCATTTGTTCAAACCTAGGATCGAATCACGATTGGTTAATGTAAAAAATTAACTTTTTTATTGTATCACCCAGACCTGATACAATAAAAAAGTTAATTTGTTGTGGTATCTTCGTTGTCGCAGATACATCATAACACGGAAGCTTTAGGTGTACGTACTTATCTTGAATCTGAGCAATGTATGTGATGTTGTGTAAAATACTGAGGCTATTAATAAATCACTGCCCAGTGTGGAGGTCATGCTTGTGTACGTTAGTCAAAACTTCTATTAATCAGCGAAAATCTTTAAAATAGCGAAGATAAAAAGTCCAAAGCCATAGAATTTTCATTGGAAACGGACATAACTATCTTAAAATAATATAAAAATTGAGGTAGTATAAAATCTTCAAACATCGTCTGTTGGGGAACTGTTGTAACGGGAACCGAAGATAGTAAAAGTTCTGATTCGAACACAAACACAGTTTAACAGTAATTTTTGCTATAAATACAATTTTATATTATTAACTTCATTGCGCGTGGTACACAGGCTGCCGCAATAAGTCGAATTTCCTCAATTGACTTTGAACTCTAACCATAATGTGTTAACGTTTAAAATTAAGTGGAGATATTTGAGTTTTATTTAGTCTGACGTGCTGTTAACTTTACAAGCACGGTCGGTGAGAAAGAAGGGCGGAAACGAAAACCGCCAATAAAAATAACTTTATATTGCAGTATTTCCAACAGCGTTTCACGTGTTTCTTATTATTTCTTTGCATTATGTTCTCAGGTTGAACAGAAACTGAAGAGGTTACAAAAGAAAGAAGAGGAAAGAAACAAAAGGGCGTACGAAAGGGAGAAGGAGAGGGAGAGAAGAAATGTTTTTAACTTCTTAAATAGAACACTAGGGGATGCTAACGAGGAACAAGAAGGAACCGCTTCGTCGATATCTTTAAAGCAATCATCCAGCAAAGATTTAAATATAGAGCAGTTTAAAATAGCAGAAGACGTGAAGAGAATAGAAAGAGAAATAATTAAACTAAATAGCTCATTATCTAAATATACCTCAGGGTCGGAAGGCCATAGAAGTATTAGTATGCAAATTGTAGAAAAAAACAAAGAACTTGGGGCTCTTAGAAATAAGGAAAAGCAAATAAGTAAGGAGCAGAGTAACAGAAAGGATAAACAGAAATTGACCATATTCTAACTTCGCTTCAAATAGGATTAATCACTTTTTGTTTCATTATGAAATCAATATATTATTTAAATAAATATTTATCATTTTATGATATAAAGTTAATAATAACCTCTGTTTTGAGACCTGTCCAATCAATTAATTTTAAGCTCAATTTTCAAGAAATCAAGGTCTATCAATGAAAGCTTTTTTATGGTAACCTGACGTGCTATTGACTATACCTAACACGTGTTTTAGGGTTCCGTACACAAATGGTAAAATGTGGACCCGACCAGGAATCGAACCCGGAACCCAAGAGAAGAGATAGCGACACCTTGAAACCATTGTGCGAGTTATTCTGCCTCATTACACAAAAAAATATGAATGAAAGGGGTTTAAATAAAATACATAGATAATTACAAATTTCTCTATTTACATGTGATGATTTTAGTTTAAAATAAGCGTACATGGCATAAAATTACAATTGATACATATGAAATATTTGTTTATAAATTAGATATTTGTACTATCAAACAATATTACAAGTACTCATACATGTTAAAGTGTAGTGTGACTAGCAAATAATATTTGCTGATTTATATGAAAACAATTATCAATTTGAACTACAGCGGGTCAAATATTTTAACTATAATTATTCTAAAATATTATCTATATCATTTGATTTTTATTTTATTCTATATTATATACCTACTTTAGGTATGGAATCGAGGCTTTACAAGCCTGATATTTTTAAATTCGCAAGCATTAAATTTTTTGCATTAAACGGCATATATTATTCATCAGGTTTTTAATTACTAGATGAGTAAAAGGTGTCATATAAATTAATTGCATTATAGGTAAAACGACGTATCCTTAAATTTGCTACGTGAGCAATAATAAATTTGTACTTTCATCATCTGTTTTAACGAATGCTATGAACACGCCTACAGAACACAACGGCACACGTTATCAACGAGATGTAGTATAAGAATCGTCTTAAGACCCACTGTGCGACACATCCAAACCATATTTAAACGTACGATACAATCTATACCATTCTATAATATAATCATTGTCAGTGAACCATGACCATTCATGATCTTCGTATCTAGTTCAGATGCCAAAACTGAATTCAAGTACCGGCGTTTGAATCCTCACTATCTAAAACCCGATTGCATACATTTTGTGTGCAAACAAATCGCGTATGTGTAATTAGGGGCCATCCGTAAATTATGTCACACGTATTTTATGTTCTTCTGTCCCACTCCCCATACTTATCACAACTGGTCCCATTTGTGAGACCCCCCCCTCCCATGTGTGACGTTATATGTTATATAAATGTATAAATATAAATAAGAAAGTATAAATTTAAAAAAAACATCAAAATAAAATTTATTTCTATTTAAATTCAGTTTTAAAAACATTTGACTTGTAGTAAGTTTAAATTTCGTGCTTTTTCCTATTAAACATTGAAATGTCACATCTCGTAATTGAGGACCTCACCTTTGTCGTACAACACGATATTTCGTCCCCCTCCACCCCTTTAATTTGTGACATACTTTATGGATAACCCTTATCGTAATAGAATGCAAACTTCTGTAGCAGCTTCCACGCCCATATTAAATAAAGCCCGGTCGCCGTACATAAAAAAATTCGTTCAATAACCCGGCATTTATCTCTTTATCGTGCGCAAATATATTGCAATTTCGCTCCCACAGATGCATCTAGCCAACTTTGTCATAGTAAAGCTAAAATATTTAGATGTCTATCAGTAAGTATACAAGTCAATCTACAAAATACTCTATGTTCGGTAACCAGGCTATAGTAGCAAACCAGTTTCTCCACCATTTTGAGCATTTGAACTAAATAAAATGCAATTGTCATGTTAAGATTCAATTAAATGTTATAACTGTTACCGGACTCGCCTGCGTAACAAACGTGTACCAGAACCTCATGAAAATGACCTCACTTGTAAACAATTATATTAAATATCGGCTAAAATCTATCATATAACAATTAAAAAGACCAATTAATTTACATCATAACGTCAATTTGAGTAATTCTGAAAGTACAATATACATATTGATAAATGACATCTTATTTATATAAAACTGTGCTCTAATCTTACGTTATACAATTAGCTTTATTAATTTTTTTTAAAGACGTTTTGACTACTCAGGATAATTAAAAAAGTATCACGTATATATCGAAGTCACTGTATACATAAAAATAATATCAATAAAAGTCGAAAAATTCGTGCAATGACATATAAAACAGAAAAGTTACTGAATAGAATTTTTACATTTATCTATTTATATTAACGCAGTTTTCATAAGGTCATCGTACACATCGCTTATATTAACTAACAACTAAGCATTGAAATTCACAAAATATTAAAATTTCCTAAACAAATTCATCACAGAGATTTGTTATATCCATGTCACGACATTCGCTGCCATCACCGTTCATTCACGCTCAATCATACTTAGTTTAATTAAAATTTAGTGTCTACATTACGTTAGATATATTACAATAGAGAGTGATGAATAAAAGAGAGACATTCTTTGTACTAAACTAGAACTCCTTGAAATAATAAGTACATGCTCTATGAGACTCTTCGCCGCGCTAAAAATACAAGTCCTTTTAAAATATTTTGTGATGTCTTTATTAAGTTTGTGATAGGGTCGTTTTTTGAACAACCGACTCTTCTGAATAGTTTGTGAATGGCAAACAAATAAATGAGTGAGATTCAGTTGTGATTTGACTACGTGAATGGTTCGGTAATTATTGTGATATATTTATATTTTTTTTATAATTATTAATAAGAAACCAAATGAGAATAGGACTAGACTTCTTTAGGATGGAAAATGTGCAAAAAAAAGACCGAAACTATTTAGTAATAAAGAAAAAGACTAAGAGATCAATTCAGAAAATATACTTCAATAATTTTCGATGTCCAATCCAATAATATAATAAAAATCCAATAATAGACATATATAAAAAGTTAAACGAATCCAAAAAAATATATATTTATAGAACTATCTTTTTGCTGTCAGAACTAAAATGACAACTACACCGTGAAGTTGGTAGCTAGCCGCATCCTATTCCTATTTGGCTCGCATAAAGGCGGGTAGTGACTTAAAAAACTGTCATTACATACTGTCTCCGAATAATTAAACGTTCACGTTCACTTTCACTAAATTGCTCTCGTAAGCGAATAAGGATCTTATGTCTTGGATTTGAAGATCCTTAAAGCATCTCAGAGATTTTAGCTGGTTAGTCACTAGGAATAGAAATTAAGACTTTAACGCATTTGCTATAGGGTTCGAAGTCGATTGACTACGTGGACCATTGTCGAGTCGACGTTGTCGAACACTGGTATACCGGCGCGTCTCGCTAGGTCCGTGAGGTAATGACGCCCACGGTTGTAATCTTTGATAGCAGATTCGCTGTACTGTAAATAAGAACAAAATAAAGAATATGATTTATGCTTTCGAAATTTAGATTTTCCGGTTATTGTTTGTTATAGAAGATTTATAAGACAATATTTTTACATCTGACTATACTGATAAATCTAAATTATTGTCAATTACATATGTATGTCACACTCATCATCATCATCAGTCACTGCAGGTGCTCAGGCCTTCATTATCTATTGCAGGTGCTTATTATCTAGGATTGGCCATGAACCTCCACACTGGTCCAATGCGGAATGGAAGGTATTGACGACTACAAATGCAGCCAGGACCAACGTCTTAACGTGAATTCCGAAGTACGGAGTAGCTCGAAATAATAATGTTTGGTCACCCATCTCGTGACTAACCCTTGTGAAAATTGCTTAACAACAAAGTTCGCGGGCCACGAGGCGTTTCTATTACGCCACCTAGCGCCTCAAATTTATTAATATGTATATCCAAATATTTATTCTAATCCAGACAGGAGCTCCGCACAGTGGTTAGCGCGTTCGATCTATCATGAGGAGGTAACTATGCACGGCAAGGGCCGGTCATGGAATGGGTGAACAAAATTATCATCTCAAACGTCAAAGCTGATCCCAGCTGGGTATGCAGATGTTAACGGTCACCAATCCGCACTTGGCCCACTTTGTAGGCTATGAACAGTTCGTTCTCTCTATTCAATAGTAGTTCGGTAGCGTAGTAGATAAGCGCCGCGGCCTGCGATCGTTTTTTATTAAGCAACTTTCGCAAGATCGGTGCTTCGGAAGGCACGTTAAGCCATTAGTCCTGGCTGCATTTAGAATCGTTAATACTCTCCAATCCGCATTGGATCAGCGTGGAAGATCATTGCCCCTTCTCTTTACCCATCCATAAAGCAGGCTTTAGGGGCAGATGATTCTGATGATGATTCAATAGGGAATATTACGTAAAGCTCGGCGTAGATGGCGGCATTAGCACATTACTGCTATCTTATTACTCAATCCACATATGCATAAATGATGTATTATTAGATAAAATTACACTCTTTCAAATTATAAATTCAGGATACATTAAATTCCTAATATTACTTTACTATTTGCTCACTACTCTGTAAATGAAGTTTGACTTATAAAAAATAGCTCTCTTCCCGGGACTTCACCCGCGTAAATTATTGCCTATGTCACCCTCCCATGATGTAGCTTCCCGAAGGTGAAAGAATAGTCCAGTCCAGTAGTTTTGGAGCCTATTCCTATTTATATTTCTTCTTTATACTATAATTAGTACTTGTGCTAGTGCTGCAATATGGCGACTGAAAGACGCAGTAATATGTGCCATTCATAGGCAAAGTTTGTACTCGGCGGTAGGAGTATTAGGTCATTGATGAGTCAAGACCACTGCCTGTTAAATAATGATTTTTTAAAGCTTTATACTCACATTTGGGCATAGGTTGGGGTCCATGGGTTGTACTAGAAGTACCGTGTTGGCGGGGCGAAGTCCCATATAATGAGCGGCCAGCACCATCGCGGCGAAACACGGCGCCTCCGCACTCATACTGAATACCAGCACACGAGAACCTAGCAGCAGATCTTCATCGTACATGCCTGTGTTGAAAAATAATATATTCTAAATTAGTACCGTTCATGTTAATAGGGATGACGACTAATTTTTGTTTGTTTGTCCTTCAAGTAGAGTGTTGAAAAATATTAAACGCGTATTTTTTAATTTCTTTCGTAATCATAAAATTACGGCGTTACATGGAGTTGAAATTTCGCATGACGTCACGTTATGGTACGTTTTCTACATAAATGTGACGTGGCGAGCCCCCACTCCTCAACTTTAATGCCGATTATCTAAGCTATTTCTTGTTAAATTGAAGTAAAAAAATATACGTGTCTAATATTTTTCTATTATCTGACTGACGGACTAAAAAGAATTGCATTTTTTTTACCCAGTCGTCATCCCTATTGTAGGTATTGACTGACTTCGTGTTATGGGAATCCGGTGGACTTATGTCTAACTTCAAAATCTGTCGTTATCCCTTTCAAGGGTATAGCGAATTATGAAACGTTTGAAGTCGCAATCGCTTTTGTAACGATCAAGAAACATAAACTAAATCCGTCGAAATATTTTAGTTTGCATTCAATTATTTCGTTTGACTTTTTCAATAGCTTTCAAAAATAGTTGCGTCCAACGTCTTCTTGTCTTAGACAATTCCAATTGACATCAAATTAACAATAACATTTATTCAATATTATTATATTTGATCAATAAAATATTTTTAATGAATAATGCTTAAAATTCCACTTTGTCCTTAGCACTCCAAGATTGCACAAAGTGGACATTTAAGCATTTTTCATAAACTCATTCAATATCTTAAAAAAACACGCCACTGTCACAATCACAATCGATATCACATGCCAAATAGTTTTTTTTTTTCAATACGGACTTGTTCCGTTATACACGGAAATTTTGCCAACATCCCGTTGTGAGAGAAACACGTGATTTGAGAGACTGAACGGTAGTTATAATTAAATATGTACGGCAATGAAGTTCGCTGATATCTTATAAAATGTCAAACTGGAAGTGATTGCGATAAATTTTAAAACTAAACAATTAACCCTACTACTGGATTTAAACAAAAATAAAGATATAAAATATCATATATTTAGAAGTATAGACAATCTTGGACAATGTCACAAACACTACTAGGATTTCAATTAAAGAATTCTATTATGGAACTTTGAAACGGTGAATCTAACAAATAGCCAACCTCGAGAACATTTAGAAAAGTTCATTCTCTATACTGATTACCAAATCAATGTAGAAAATAATTGAAAAGCAATAAAGATTTTCATTTCATTTTATTTAGAAAAGGGAATCTCAGTAATAAGACATCTTGAAACCGGCGTGCGAGTCACTCAATAGTTATCATCGCTGATGATCGCTTTTACGTCCCCACTGCAGGGGCTCAGGCCTTCCTTATGGATGGTTAAGGAGGATGGGCCATGACCCTCCACGCTGGCCCAATGGGGATTGGAGGGTATTAACGACTGCAAATGCAGCCGGGACCAACGGCTTAACGTGCCTTCCGAAGCACGGAGTAGCTCGAGATAATAATTTTTTGGTCACCCATCCCGTGACCGACCCTTGCGAAAGTTGCTTAACGACTACGATCGCGGGCCGCGGCGCTTATCCACTACGCCACCGAGCTACTCAATAGTTATAATAATTGGCATTAAGATATGTTGAAATTGTTCTACTATTATTAATATAAGAACTTGCGTGGATTTGTTATTTAAATAAATAAATAATACACCTTAAGCAGTGTACATATTCTAAAGCCTATTCAATAAAATAATGCTTTCCTTTACTTTTTAAGTACATATTTTAATAATAAACGCATATCAGACGACCTCCGTAGCCGAATGTTTCACACATCGGTTTTAAAGTGTCGTCATATCTGAGGTTCCGAGTTTGATTCCCGGACGGGTCAATGGAAAAAATGAACTTTTCTACCTAAATTGTCTCGGGTCTGGGTGTTGTATTACATTCGTTTTCCCAGATACTCCATAATAGCTACTCATCTTGAAATCTGAGCAATGTATGTGATGTTGTCTAATATTTATTTATTTATGTCACTTGTTCACAAACAACATTGGGCTGGACGTTGAAAATAACATTTCTGTCGTGCTAACTACACATCGTTCCGAAACTAATTTGATTTCACGTCACACTCCAGCCAATAAATTCCAGTGTTTAGCAACGTTACATTAGTCTTTTGACTGATAAGAATAACAGATACAAGAAACTTAACAAATTAAAGGCTCTTAAGTTAAATTTACCTCATTGCACATTAGAGTTGTACAAGAAAAGAGCTGTTTTTTAATATTATTATCGGGTTTTTTTTTACGTTTGGACGTTTTTTGTTTTTCCTTGAGATAAAATCTATAATTAAGGTAAGATTTCATTATCTTATCTTAGGTATTTTAATAAAATGTATTGGAGTTCGTAATGACAACTTTTTTGTACGTTGTACTTCGTACAAACGTCACTCTAGCTAAAGGCTACGGTCTTGACAGAGTTCGGTGTTGCAATCTTACCGAATTCCATCGCTAACTCAAAGCGGTCTAATTTAACGATTATTGCAAGTCTCAACAATTAAACTTTTATCGTTAATTTGCTAACCATCGAATTTGGCAGCTCGGTCAGTGCACTTCACGATCACTATCAATGTCGGAACTGAAGTTCCAATTGACAAACCAGTAATAGGGATATCATATCATAAGTAGCAATGTATTTATAGACATTCTTCTTTTTTTTTTTCTCTGATGGTAGTAGGTTAAAAGAGAAAAAAAATACGATTTACAATAATAAACACATTACTGAAATTTGTACACAGATTTTTTTTCTAATATAAAGCGGATTTACCTTTAAAAGGCTGCGGCGTAGAGTCCTCGGTGACAGTATAGAAGTCGGAAGCGCTCAATCTTTCCGTTGGATCTATATCGACCGGTTTATCTCGCAGTTGCACCTCCTCCGTGGGCGAGTGCAAGGGCGAGGGGCGGGGCTTCTTGTCGTGACGCGGCGATTCCGGATGTGCGGGCGCAGATCGACGCGCCGGCGCCGAGAACATACGAGTGTAATCGTTCGGACGCGGTATCACGTACGTGAAGCCTTCGCGACGGAGGACCTCTTCTGGTCGGGTGTTGTTCAACTGTTTGTGGAAATTCGGTAGATAAAAGTTAGTTTTGCGAGATACAGAATATGGACGATCCAAAGAAGTATTGTCATCGTCAATTGGCTTGACTGTTACGACAATGATTTATTAAATATAATGTATTAAGTATCTTTTTGTTTTAATAAATTGTGAGTATATTTTATTTATGCAATTTATCGAATCGAAACGCGGGTGGCTATGAAGGAGCATCATGTGACGTGTACTTTTAATAAACTAACTAAGTTGTGAGTGCAAGCAGTGTTCATGTTCATGTTTATTGTAGTGTGACGTCACGGCTCGAAATGTCACGTACTGTACGTTCCCCGAAACAAGTCAAGTAGCCAATTATAATGTGTGGCACGTAAGTTGAACCAAAATAGCGTTTTCTGCGCAGGTTGCGATCTCAATATACTGCATTCGTTACGCGCTGCATTTCACTGGCAACTTGATCGAGATCCCAAAATGTACTACTGCGCAGTCGCCGCTTTGGTTCAACTTACATGCTGCGCATTAAGAATGTCCTTATGGTTTATTATCTTTGGATAGATCCACATAAATAAATCAGGCCACCGCCGAAACGAAATCTGCATGACAGACATCATATAGTCATGTTTGTAAATATTCAAATTCATTTATTGTGTTATAGCCAAATCAAGTCCCAACAAAAATCTGCCTAGTTGGCGTACAAATATTACATAAAAATGTTATAATGTATTTGGCAGATTTTGTAAACCTTTCAATACAAATAGCTAATGTACACTAAGGATCAAAATGTATCTTATTTTAGATTCTTTTTCTTAAACGCGTATGTAATTAAATTATTATTAGCTTTAATAACTATGAAAATTTTGTGCGTAGGCGTTTCAAAGCGTCATAACAACGCGAATGCACAACTGTCTGAAGGCGGATGGATTTTGATTGTTTGATTTATCATCTTAAACGTTCGTGCCAAGAATTAGAAACGGATACTGCGCATCAGCATAACGGAGCAACTCTCTAATATTATTGTCCATATACTTAATGGGTTTATACTTACATGCCAAATTTTCATTAGCGATTTTAACAAATATTGAACCTATAATGTGCTATAAAGCTGTATCTTCTCGTAATAAATGTACAAAGAGAGAGACTCATAAGATTAGTAGATAAAGCCAGAATCTTCTGTGATAGTTTTGCTTTGCCTGAAACTTAGCAGTATCGACATACACGTGAAAAATATTATGAACAAAAAATTTCTTAACGACTGATGTCGTAATCTTATGAGTTAGCGCCATCAGATCTGAGTATAAAAAGTTAAACACTGCGAATTATAATCTGCCTATAGCTTGAAAATAACGCGAGATTTCAATGAAGACAATGAGCACGTGATCTAAGGGCGCTGTCCTGATAACGGAACATGTCGTTTTAAAGTCCCAACTAAATACACACACAATAAAAGGTATCACTCTCGACCGACGTATACCCGTCTACATTAGACGAATTCGATTACTACACGACCTGTGCTGTAACTATGAACTGGACAGTAACTCACCGGAAAAGCTCCACCGAGGTAGACGTCGTGTGTTGGTGCACCGAGCATGGCCGGCAACTTGTCCAGTCTCCGCTCAGTGCCCGGCGTGAACACGGAGTCGCCGCTGCTATCTGACGCCATAGCACCACCGCTCTCGGTGTCCAACGCCGGTCTACTGCCGCCGTTCTACGACAAATACAAACATCATTTGAAACCGCTAAACGCGTAATCAGCTCATCGTCCTACGAATTCAAATTAATTTATCATCATTATCACCAGCCCTTTTACGTCCCCACTGCAGGGGCTCGGGCCTTCCTTATGGATGGTTAAGGAGTATGGGCCATGACCCTCCATGCTGGCCCAATGCGGATTGGAGGGTATTAACGACTGCAAATGCAGCCAGCACCAACGGCTTAACGTGCCTTCCGAAGCACGGAGTAGCTCGTGATAATAATTTTTTGGTCACCCATCCCGTGACCGACCCTTGCGAAAGTTGCTTAACGACTACGATCGCGGGCCGCGGCGCTTATCCACTACGCCAGCAAACTACTCAATGAATTTATCAACTCTTCTTTATTTATTAATTACTATTTTAAGATTTATCGAAAGTGTTTTGAATTAGAAAATGTTTTTCGAGATTTTAACATACTAGATGTCACCTGATGATTTTAGTTTATAAAATAAAACTTCAACTTCAAAAGTAACCGATCGGTAACTAGCAATTTATCAGCATATTAAGATTCCTTAAACCACTCATACGAGCATCTAAAAATTTACTTTTAAATGAATAATATCTATTGTGATATTAATAAAGGAGTTCCAACTGAAGTCGAGAGTTAACCGTGTTGCACTGCGTCATTTGTAAATATGTGACGTCACAATGCTCGCTACCTAAGTACATACCTACCTACGTAAAATCTTAAGAATACATCATCCAAAGCGGGCGGCGACCTAACGTAGCTAATTGCAGTGCTACGATATATTACGTAACGGTCGAAGTTAAAGTTACATATTTAATGTAATCTAATTTGACTACATCATTAACATTGCATGACTTTCGTAGCCATGTGGTGAGCTTTTAATGTAATAACGATCTTATATTGATGATATTATATTGATAATAAAACAAGCTGAATATAAATACTTTCTATCTCTTTGGAATACAGCTCAAATAATTATGTTACTGTAAGAGAAAAGAAAAGTAGAAAAGAATCAGTTTTCCTTTTATGTGTTCCCTATTGTATATTGATATGGATTTAAAATTTAAAGGATCAGATTATCTACGAAACGGATCACTTAACGTACAATTTATTATAATATTTAGATAGATAGATGAAATCTCAGTAAATTTCTTAATTCTAGTGGGCAAAGGCGGTCTTCTCGCTCTTTCAGACAACCCTTGTGTTATAGGACACCTGTCTGAAGGATGTGATGTCATAATACTACTAAAGGAACATCTCTCGCAACAGTTTGGTAGAGTTCATTAGACCGCTCGCAATTTTCAACGATTAACTCGTATCCTGTTCGCGATTGGAAATACAAAACACCATGGAGCCATTAGTTTCGAAATTATTCAAATAACATTTGTGATTCATGGCTAACACGCCCATACATTATGAAGATTTTTTCTTAATATAATCCTTGACGAATGGGGCAACCTTCTAAAGATACATATTTATTTTATGTAAATCATGCAATATTTTAGTAGATAACTAAATGAACATTTTATAATTTAATAAATATTTTCTAAGAACATATGATGAGAAAAAAATATTTGCATGTCACAAAAAAGTGCATGAATGTGGATGGAAATGTAAGGTTGGAAATACCGAAGAAAAGGTGCACTGATATCTGAAAGATGTTATAGGTAAGAAAGGGGTGGATGTTAAGATGACAGCTGATCAAAGAAGAGCATATATGCGGAGATAGTAAATTAAAGTATTTAATGAATTAAAAAAAAGCCAGTGTTTTCGAACTGCTTATTATATTAACTAACATTCATTTGTTAGCGAAAATAATTAGAAGACTATCAAGATCAACTCTGCGATTCTGTAAAAATCCGAACCCGAATTCGAATTCACTCAGGTTTCTGAATTCAAGTCATTTAGTGTAGAAATTCTATTGACTCTATTTTTGTATAAAAAATACAAAACAAGATTGATTACTCAGAAAGGATTTTTAAATTCAACCGCTTAGGGGGTTAAATAGAAGTTTGAAAGTCGTGTAACTCAACCTAGTCGTAAACAAGAATGTTATTCATATTAAATTTAAAACAATGTATATCTCCACAAATAAATATAACACATAATTACCTTTGGAATGAATAATCCAAGCTTCCTCCCGTATGCTTTTAGACGTGCGTTACACACGTGAAGACCGTTTGTCTCCCGAGCGGTGTCCGTAACTCGTTCGGACGCGTTCCTGATCCCTTCATTATCAACCCCCGCCTCATTCTCCGGACAATTACGTTCGTGTACTTCTGAAGACAAATATGCAATACTGAATATAGGGATATAATTATTTTAACGGACACACATTAAGACTAGCATTAGACATTTAGAAGGGCGCGCTCGCATTTGTGTTATTTCATAGACCCTGCATTTATACGTATTATCGGTATATTGTAATGTACACAATAGCGCCCGTTGCAGTAATCAAATGAAAAATCAATAAAAATTATACACACGGCACCACGTCAGGTTACAACACGTAAATTTTTTACAATTTTTTACTATTCTCAATGTATTGTGGTTTAAAGAGAAATTTATCAGATTTATATAACCAGACCTGCTGTTGAATGTACAAAAAAGATTACTGCACAGCGTGAAATTGCCATATTGCTCAAATTCCACGCTAGTAATGCCTATGTGCTAAGGCAATCTGAACCAACGAATCTAACAAACCCCCAGATTTGAGACTATGAAAAATTATGCTATTCTGTACTAGTGAACTTAAAGTTGAACTTGACCTCACAACATAGAGCTTCAATGGAATAAGACCTTTATTACTTTATAAAGAAGGGTCAGCAACGTATAGAGAACCTCATAGAGGTTCGCTGCGCAGTCCTCGAGGTCGAGTTCAACACTGATTTTATTACAGAACAAAAACACTCGTAGTACTGCAGTTCATTTTCTCATTGAGCCAGACGGAATTCGGACCCGGGACCTCAAGAGCCGCCGATAGCCTCCCAGGCACGTAGGCACTTATCATGCTTTAACAATGTTATAATTACGGGTCATCCTGACCATCTAATAATGTCACAATTGCAATTTATAAATACTAAAATGTATTGTTTGTTTAAAGGCACTGAATCGCCAAACTTAATATAGCCCATATCTAAAAAATAAAAAATGAACTAAACCATTAGTGAATAAACACTCACAAGGGTGTCACCAATTTGTTAATCTTTCGTGTTGGTTATGTAAAATAAAAACAATTATACAGATGGCATTACAAGTGCAGTTTATAGAATACCAAGTACCTAGTACAAATTACCCAATTTAATAACCGTATTAATTAATTTTGTATTCAAAGTATTATTTATATCTTATAATTATAAGGAAATAGTTTGAAAAAAAAATAACAAACACAATTTGATGAAAAGTGTTATGATAAGAATTATATTTTTTGTGAAAAATCAGTCACACATAAGATAACAAATTTCATATCGCAACATATCTTAAAGCGTGGAAACTAACGTAAAAATAGAGTGAATCACTTCTTAGCACGTAAACAACCTTCGCAAAATAAAACGCGCAGTGTAAGACACGGACGTCGGTTATGATCAAGGTGTGAGTAGCTAAAATAAATAATACAAAGCCCTCAATTAAAAACACACATGTTCACGGAATAACTCTTAGTTTCGCTTTCATGGAACTTAAATGAATATGGCGTCGAGATAATGACATTTACATTTGATGTGACGAGACAAACTGACAATGAAAACACATACAATATGAATTCATTTGATTAGATTAAAACAAATTATAAATGAGTAATCCATCTCTGAAGTTAATAGATAAAATATTTATACAAGGTGAGGATTTAAAAAAACAGTTTAATGATGATTCTACCATGAAAAAAATGTATATAATCCAACAAAAATATCTAGTAGCGTAAAACTAATCAATAATTAGTATGAAAGCCACATAAACGAACTGCACGTCGGGGAGGTAAACGGCTTCCTCCCGCAGCGTTTATATTCATACAGAATATGATCGGCTGACCTACATATTATAAAAGTTTAATTCATATTTGGATTCGAAATACTTTCTAAAGTTCATCAAAAGTCGGGATAGCGTGCCATCTCATTTCTTAATTATTAGAATAAAACCTAAAGATGATAATAAAAATGAAAGAGATATTCATTGATGTAATGTAATGATTGAACTAAGCATTTGTATAAAACTGTGCGCAGGCAGACGCGTCAAAACAAAATAATCCAACAGCAGCAAGCAGGTTCACTCGTAAATCGTTTCATACATTATATGATCTCAAATCAAAACAAAAAAAACACTGAATTTAAAAAGAGTATGACGGTTACAATAATTATGAATAGAATGATTGAATGATTGATAAGCTTTTCTGACAAAATAGTGCGAAAACGCACCAGGAGAGGGAGCTAGTCGGTCGCGCAGTGAACGAAACACGCGACGGACCGCCGCTGCAACGCCACCGCTGGTCGCGCCTCCATTACCGCGCCCTTCAACAGACACGATCCTTAAGGCCTACTTGTACCTCCGCTTAAATTCCCATATAAATACGCAAACAAATACGTATCGAGAGTACAGATGCGCTCGCTTGAGATCATAAATTTTTAATCTATTCTAATCTTTGTTATATTTATTTCATTCTTTTTATTATATTCTTTGGTATAGTTTAGATTATATCAAAACCTATTTTTTGTATATATTAGTTATATATGATGTTTCCGTTTTTAGCAAACATGTTTAATTTTCATAAAATTATTTATATTTGACAAATTTTAGCATAACTTTAGAATATAATTGGTTTGAGAAATGGTAATTTCGTACAAACTCGTCTTAACACTCATTTTCATTAATCGATATAAAACGTACGAGGACCAAGGTTGGTCCAGCGTGGTGTAATTCAGTGTAATCTAATAAGGCGGTGGGCATAGAAAGTATAGGTAGCGCATATTTCGGATCGCGCGTGCGCTTTTATAGAAGACTCAGTTTCTGAATTTATTATTTAATGTAAAGAACGTTTCAAACTGTACGTAAACATCACTTAAACAGGCTATCGTTTCCGATTTAGGTTTTTTAATGATCAGTTGATAACAGTTTGTGAAACGTAAAAAAGTTATTGACATAATCAGTTGAGGTTTTATACTATTCTCAATTCAGAAACCGGCTGATTGTGCTAAATTTTTGCGGTTAGTTGCAGTGTGGTCTGTGCCTAAGGTGATATAACAACTACATCGCAACAGCGCACTTTTTATACCGCTTGGTAGTATTTTACTGTATTTATTTGTAAAAAAGTAAAAGGTCGCACTGCTTTATCGCGATTTTATTATTTTCTTATCATTTCTATATAGTTTCAATCAGTCTGGTTTCGTCTACTAAGCGCCTAAATCAGCTGCAGTGATATGCTGTTATAAAATAACAACGTCAACTTCAACCGCAGCGATGTCATTACTCATAACATAGCGATTCAATCAAATACAACCTTCTGCAAAAGATAATAAAGGTTTTATTTCATTAAAAGCTCTATGCTGTCAAAACGCTATGTGATATGTATGACAGATATATTTGCTTACTATTATACCCCCCCCCCCCCCATTTACCTTCGTTTGACTCGTTCAATATTTTCATTGACAATAGGGTATGAAAGCTTTGTTGTTCGGTACTTCACTTAATGAGTGTTGCGACAGTGTATATCTCAGGAACTACTGGTTCGAATTGAAAAATTCTTTTTGTGTTGAATAGACCATTTAACGAGGAAGGCTTTAGGCTATATAACATCACGCTACAACTATTAGGAGCGAAGAAATAATGTAAAACGCGGACGAAGTCGCTGGCGGCCTCTAGTTATTTATAATTTTTGTAGGGATAAAGTATGCAGAAATGCATTATAGCTAGAAAACCGTCAACCATATTATACACAGATAAAAATTATGATAGGCTGATAATTATGTGACATTCAAATTGATAGATTAATTAATTGTACTGATCAATTAGCCATCATTATGTACTTTTAAATCAATGATAAAAATATCTTATCGTTAAATGTTGCATTGAGAATTATTATATGGGTTTTTGATACTTCATACATTGTTTCGCATATTTCTTTAAACAAAATATTTGATGCAGTACTTTACGTTTTTTTTCCTAGTTCAAACTCAACCTAGCATTTCCAATATTTTAAACACCAAAACATATTCATAGAAATAGGTATAGAGTTTGATAAAACAAAATTCTAAAGCCGTCCACAAATAAATAAATATCCGCCATACAAAAATGACTCATACGAATATAAACAATGAATATGCTGTTGACTGTACATAATTATTTTAATCACAATGCCTACCTGACTCTAGCATCGTAATACATTGTAGTACCGAATAAGTTTTTAAGTTAAAAGGTTTCATGACTACTGGACCGCTTTTAAAAATTGTTTCACCTACGGGAATCTTCATGATACACTATAATTTTTTAATGAAAAATGCTTGAAAATCCACTTTGTCCCATAGATGGGACAAAATGTATCTTTTGAGTATTTTTCATTAATAAATTTATTGTGACTGCAAAATTCATGAAATATAATAAATAAGCTATAATTGAGAAAATGTCATAACATCATCAAATATTTTTAGCCAATAAACGATAATCTGAATGAAGTAAAAACTGTTAAGTAATAATAATAATGTTCTAACTATAAGGAGTTCCTACTTCATTCAAATTCTTTATTTGTAGTAAATACTTCTCTTGACTATAGATACAAGTGTTAGACCCTAACGGCTAAATAATAAATGAATTGACCAAAACAATAACACTAACAAACGAACTAGAGAATACGTATTACATAATGATATATAAGAACTTATCAAAAAATATTTAGACACGTTCATTTAATTGTCTTTTAAAGACGGATTATCTACTTTGTAAGTCATAATCGAGCGATTATAAATTCCTATTGAAATTTAAAAACACTTTCTTGATAAAACTTTGTTTTTTTATTTTTATTTACTGAAGCTATTGTATTGTCACCTGAAATTCTTTATCTCAAATAATTTAGCTAATACCTACTCTGCTACGATAAGTTTTACTAATTACACTTAAAATTCAATAACAGTTTGTTTGTACGAAAATTTTAATCGTAGTATTCATAAAAATATTGAAATTTCAGAGAACCTTTACTCAATAAGGGAGGCTTGAGTTTTGACATTATGGCATTGTTTAGGGAAATTCTTCTGGGTTGAAATGTGCTTTCAAGTTCAATGTAACATAGGGCGTTGATATTATAATTTGTTGTCTGGCGTTATGCATTTATTATTATATAAAAAAATATATATATTTGAAATTATCACATAAGAATTAGGAATAACATATTTTTCCTACTGTAAAAATGGATTTTAATATTAGATTACCTAGTTTATAAAAATCATGGAATAAAACGTTTAATTCCAAGAGTAACATAACTTGCATATAATGTGGGAAACTTATTAAGCATGTGATTCTTACACTTACTTGAATGCTTATGTAAACCTGTTTTTTTATACTTGTCACATCCTAAAGTACACGGTTTCTATCGCACAAATGATTTTACTGAAACGACATATAAACCATAAAAAAAAAAATATTTTCGAGTTCGACTCACCAGGGTCAGCGGCTAACTCCGCAACGGCCGCACAGAAAGTTTCAAAGTCCACGCAGTCGGCCGGCTGTAAACACGCTTCGGCCGCATCTCTAGTACACTTGGTGACGTCTCTCAGCGCGTCGACCGCTTTCGACCGTAACAGTTGCCCGTTCCGGCCGCCTGCAGCGTCGTAAGCGCGCTTCAAACGACGGATTGTGTAACCCAATAGATGTTGGGGATGCGTACGCGCACCCCTTAACACCATTCGCGCACAGCGTAGCGCATTCGGAATGTCCGTGAAAGCAGGCAGCCCTCGCCTCTCTACCACTTCTTGCAACGTAGCTCTGGCTCTTGATAACTCGACGTACTCACTGGAAACGTTCCGACGTATAAAACGACCGTTCAAAAACTAAGACTTCGTGGTTTCCTTTTAAATATTACCTTTCAAGCAGCATAAAAACAAAACTCACTTTGCTCTGGTCCCATTTCATTTGGAATCATGGTCTTCTTTAATACTTCTCGTTTAGTCATCATCTAAACACTTCTTTCGTTAGCCAATCATCTTTCACACAGCTTGTTGTCCACCTTTTCTTCGGCATTCCTTTCCCTACATTGACATTCACATTCATGCTCATAACGTGTTTTGTTTAATTATGATTTATTATAATATGACCCTACCAATCCTATGATTATGAACAAAGGTTTAGACATTTATTGAATTCCTAGCATTCGAATAAAGTACTTAATATGGCCCAACCACTAGTACAAGAAGTCGTGTCAAAAATGTACAAGAGTTTTCTGAAGGTAGCGGCGGCGTAATGTGAAGTAGGTAACATATTAAAAATGAAACTAATAATATTATTTATCAAAGGCACTAAACTGCTCAGACTACTGTTAGGTTAAGAAAAAATACTCAAATTTTCATTTAGTAGAAAACACAGCCGCCGCCAGATGTTCCAACACCTGACTGAGAATCGAAGTGATACACTCAGTACCTTCTTAGACAGAAATATGGACCGTTAGAAAACTCTAGCACATTTTTGTTACGAGCTCTCTGTCTATACGCCATTAAAATAAGAATAAAAAAATCGTTGACATAGACAAGAAAGATAAAATTGCGTCGCATAATATACGCACAAACCATATGATTCAATTTTCATGTACCAATGATGATGTCATTTATATAAAAACACGCATGGGTGCTTCAATGGTCATGCAATATCGATCACAACGTTTGATAACCTTAACCGATCGCAGCACAATAAGACGAATTCATTAAATCGTAAAATTCATGAAAAATTAGTTAAGTGTGTTGTTTTTATAATTAAAACTGAATACGCGACAGTATTATAATATCACATTATACAATCATTACCTATGATAACCATGGGGAAAATGTCAGAGGATAATACAGATGACGACTGGGTAAAAAAAGAAATTCTAAGTCCGTCAGTTAGATAATAGAAAAATATTATATACTTTATTTTTACTTCAATTTAAAAAGAAATAGCTTAAATAACATTTAAGTTGAGGAGTATGGGCTTGTTACGTCACAATTCTGTAGAAAATGTAACAAAACGTGACGTCATGTGACATTTTAAGTCAATGTATCGCCGTAATGTAATAATTACGAAAAAATGAAAAATACGTGTTTAATCATTTTCAACAATCTACTTGACGGACAAACAAACAAAACTTAGTCGTCATCCCTATCACAACAGATAATTTTGTGTGCGTTAGCATATAACTTCACTTTATTTATTTAGCAATAGCATCTTACATTCGTTTATTCTCATATTATAAAGTGAAAGATTATGTGCAAATTTTTATCACTCCAAGCCTACGATACCTATTTTAAAAATTAGTGGGTAAAACTTCGCACGAAATGTAACACATAAATTGATCACATGGTAAGACATATAGTATACAATACAGATATGTAGCCATCCGCTTTTACTAACCTCAAATAAGTCATTCATTCCAAAATACACACTTAAAGCTTAAAAATATAAATTTACCCTAAGAAGTAACAAATAATAGAGAGTCGTTAAAATTTACAAGATTAGAAGAGCTCACATCCCGACACACTAAATACTCAAATGAGAGTAGAGACATTTCAAATAATGTTAATAAATTTAAGGTTGGTACGAGTATAATTGCAACATGTTAAATCTTTGTTTTTTATTGTAAAGATAATGCGTTTCGCACTATTTCTGCCGCTTTGCGAACAACATGAGGTGTGTGGGATTCTTCTCAGAGAACAAGTTTTCAGCCATTTGTGAAATCATTAAACATCTAATAAGTCAGTCTAGTTTTACGAGATACCAAGCAACTAACACATACCGTGTTTACATACGACTACAGAGGGTCTACTGCCTTACTTCTTTGACTTACTCCATTTTATTGACCGAACCATCTTAACGCCCAAAATGTATACGTTAATAAATCTTATGCGATAGCTTCCGTTTAAATTCTACGTCAGTCAGCTGTATGATATCCATTTGCATGGAATACTCTTATCATGATATTGACAATACATACTGTTCAGAGATCTTTTCCTGCCCGATGGTTTGGTGACGGGAATAAGGTTTGAGTACGAGTAGTAGGTCCCTTGGTTCAGCAGCCAGCAGTGCTGCCTCGACGCTAGCGGCGACCGCCCGCGTCTCGCTGTCCAGAACAAACAACAGCGCACGCGCAGCGGCTTTCGCTCTATGCTCCACCTCCATTAATTCCGTAGACCAATCGTCCACTTGCTACGAAGAAAAAATATTATAAAACAAATGATGACATTTAAAATGTTCAAAGTTAATTAAACTCGAATATTTTCAACCTTCATATTTGAGGTTTTGAAATTAGCTATGAAACCGCGGAATACGTTATTATTTTATGTTGGAAACACAGCAATAAGCAATTAAGCGACAACAAACTAATTTCCAAGATGAGAATTTAAATGTTAATAACATTATAACACTAACAAATATTATTTAGTACATACTCAATAATATTTGTTAGTACAGTCAACAGCACATACAAAACTTATAGGCACATTTAGGTAGATCAGTAGGTAAAATAATGTAGTTTGTAATTTATAAAATTGATTCTTATCATATATAGTAAGTTATGTCAATTTAACATCTCAATATTTATCAAGTATCAATATAGGCATCGATAAAAGGAAAAAACATTATCGAAAAAATTACCTAAGGGCCGTGCTTAATCTATATAAATATGAGTTATCTATCAGGCACGTTTAAACTTAATGAAATAATATGCTTAGGCCACAGGTAATACTCCGTTCCCGGAAATGTGATTTCGTTAATAAAATATAATCACGCACTTATTCCTTAAGGCGAGGCACAAATAAATTGTCTTTTCAGACAAATTTTACTATAGCGTCATGCATATATTTAATACATTCCAAATTAAAAATACATTTCAGAAACATTTTAATAATCACGAATAAAAAGTTTTATTGCGAAAAACCCTTGCTTATTTCTTTGTAAGAAAAAAATTTCAACGGCAGTTATTTTCTTTATTATCTACTGAATATTAACAAAATCAAGTTTCATCATCCGTATAATTGATGCTAATTATTACGTGTGCTTATTACAACTTGCTCTTAAGATATGAGCTTTTTATTGCTATGTTTGAGCAATATTCTATTTGTGCCACTATATTTGTAGCATTGCTAGCAATATCTGTTGCATAAAACTAGACCAAATTATATTTTAGCCTCTTCAAAAAGTGTTTTCATTCGTGAATAATTACTAAGACAGCATATTTATATTTTAGTATAGGTACATAAGCTTAATTGTTGAAAAAAAAAAACAAAATGAACGTTTAGTTTAGAGAGTAGTTTAAAAGAAGTGCCACTATAGTCGGTCTTAAGCATACAAAGAACAAAATAAATCCCATTTCCTCAATCCACTTTCACAATTTGTACACGAAACCAAGAACATATTCCATAGACATTGTTTTTGACATCACCGATATTTTCGTACATTATCAATTTAAGTTACCTCTTAAAATTCAGTAAAGGAATGCTGTTATTTTAATCACTTAATTATGAATCCGCCTACACGCCCACAATAATATTCGTATACACCTACCTATAAACTTTTAATTTAGAATACTAATATGGATACATTAATGGACCTTTGGAACGGAACTATGTCACTGTGACAAAATTGTTATAAAATTTTTTTTTTGTTTCTTTTAGTTTACACTTTTAAACGACGTATAATATTAATTAACATTATAAAGCTTGCAATATCAGTTATAATGTGATCATCATACAGGCTTTTATGTGTGTAGTTCAGGGCTTGTCATTGTTTCTATTAATTAATCAGTGAACGATTACGTAAATCATATTCAAATATTGAAGTGCATTCTTCAAGCGTGTTGTTATTATAATCAATATAAGAAGCCACGGAAAATAGTGGCAGTGGAGAGAGAAAAAAGCAACAAAAAACTTTGCATTACGATAGGTACAATATTTTTTGCATATCATAATCATTCTATCAGGGTTTCTCAAAGTGGGGTACGCGAACCCCAAGGGGTTCACCATTCGATAGGAGTTTATCTATTTATCTCCCCAAAAATATGTAATGGCGACTCATTGATTTGATTAGATAATTATTTTGCTGACCTTTTTAATCTTATACGGGGTTTCATGGAGCTAAAAGTTTCAGAAACCCTGCTCTATATCATAGGCCATATATTAGAGAACAATCGACTCCACAAATTAGATACTACTGTATAGGGTCCTGAAGAGCCACTTTGTATGCACTGATTACGTTACGGCATAAGTGAAGCTATAGCATTGTTGGTACGATGTGATTACCGGCAAACAATGCGCCGTTATGATGTACGATAATTACTGACAGTTAGACGGTCGACTTGTGTACACGTGGATGTAACAGTCATACACAATACAATGATCTAAGCCATCATTATTCTATAGAAGCTACAGTTACATCTTACACGAAAAGCTCAGTTATTGATAATGTAAGAAAGATCCTTATAGCGAGAAAAATCAAATTCGATTTTCTTTTGATAAATCAAAGTAACAATAGACTTTAATTCCCATCTTCTGTTTTGAAAACGAAAACATTCGGAATTCTTAAGAAATATACACTTTTTATTTATTTTTTCGACTTTATTCATTGGAAATGCCATCATGTCTCTTTGTAAGATAAGGATCAATCCCTATCTTTATAAGTAAATACTTATATTCTAATTTGCATTCTGGCAGGCAATAAATATCACGGTGAAGAATGACTCTCAACACCGTGATATCTTTGGGTACCTACTCATTGGTATATGAGACGCAAAAACAACGTCACGTACGGTGATCGTATCTCGTAAACACATGTGACCGTGACTCACCGGGTTGAAGTACGTTATGCCCATCTGCTTCAGCATCGGTATCGCTATGTCCGATCTCCAGGTGGTGGGGTTGCAGGAACCGCCGAGGAACACCTCGTAGGGCGGCGGGGACGCCTCGCTGCCTGCGCAATGCAACAAGTCAACAAACACGAAGCTACTGTTTATTAATTTCCTGCAGATTCTTGTAGGATGAGAGAACAGATTTTTTAACCTGACCAATTTTGACGAGGTTACTTTTAGATTTGAGCTTTTGTAATAAGTACAATATCTACATCGATATTCTTAATTTATTATGATACAAATAAATCAAGTAAGTACAAACCACCTTCGGTATAATTAAGCCCCGTAATAATTTGTCAATATTATTTTATAGTAATTTCAAAAGGCGTTTGTCAATATAATAAACTATGTATTATGAAGATGTTTTACGATTCGTAGAATGTATTCATAGTATGGTGACTTAATCACAGTTTAAATTGGGCTTTCTAAGAAGGAAGCGGGTTGAAGTCTAAATAACAGAACCATATGTGGTATCAAAAACTTGCGATAATCTTGCCATTAAAATAGTACTTATGTAAGATTCTGTGACATCTCAGCTGTAGTCTAAAATATTAAATAAGTAATATAGGCTCAATCTCATGTCCCGCGCATCATTAATCATAATAAATTAGAAAAAACAATTGCCGTTAGAGATGTCCACATTTCACATTTTCATTCCTACAAGTTCTGAGTAGTTGACCCTATTTCTAAGATGATACTCTGACACGCGAAAGAAGTATACATAGTTTAATTGCTTACAATTGTAGCGTGGTCAGGCACGCGATAGCGTGCGAGCTTTAACCACAGTGGTTTGACGACATACAAGAGGCCTGCGCCGATGAATTTTCCATAATTCATAAACATACCTAGTTCAACTATAAAAATATAGTTACCCAACGTTTGCCTTGAATAAGATAATGAAGTATATTATTAGTGGTATAATATTCAAAATACAAAATTAGAAATATGTAAATATATTTTGGAGGAACGTAAATAGACATGTAAAAGCTATTATTAGTAGTGACTAATGCTATACTTTGGATTAGAAAGCACAAAAATAATCCAAATATGGGGCACTCCGTTCGTTCAACCAAGTTTGCTCATCTTTAATGATTGATGTGTATTGACATAGTGTGGGTCGCAATACATTTGTCGGGCTTCGTACTACTTACAACACCCACTTACTGATAGCCATTAAAGATAGTGATTGAGACAAAAACAACGAAACGCAACGTCGATGAAGGCGACATTATAACTGCAGCATCAATATTATTCTATAAAGTCTGAAGCAAGGATGGCGCTCATTCATACTATATCGTACGTAGCCAATACAACAATCCAATTCGGGAGCTCATTCAATGCCAAATCGAAAACGTAAACAGTACTGGTCAACAAACGCTCTCAAGATCCCTCCTTACGTTCGGACATTATACGTCCAAACAAATATTGTACGGATTTATAAAATCCGTGGGAACTTTACGACACAGGCACATTTGCCAAAATTCATAATAATCAAAGCACCTACACACATTTGTCACTTTAGCATCACGAATAAGTGTTGGGACGGGACACTGAACACTGAACTTTGTTGTGATAATATTTTCGTTTTAATAAATAAAATTGTGGGATATTTACGAAATTCTGGCACCGTAAGGGATGGCACTAGCATTGTTTGTAACGTACAAGGCACTATCATTGTCGTAGGCGGCATTGTAAAAACACGCGTGCAGCCCGCGAGCGCGGCTCCGCACGCTGTCCACTGTCGGGCGGTCGACGGTCAACTGGCATTCACGACGTTCAGCACCACATCCAAATACCAGCCAATTCCGCATTTTAAAATATTCTGTTATTTCTATATCACTCAATTCAATGGCTATGATCAGCCCATTATATTTGAATTGACATTCGAACCAATAATAATATTCATCTAAATTTTGAGATTATGTTTTAAGTTATAAAAATAATAATGATAAACAATGATAAATTTGAGCATTTCAGATTGATGTAGGTATACATTAGATTTATTGATCCTACATAACAGCCGGCAGCGAATACATTAACCTACATTTTACTAAGTAGGTTGTGTTAACGATCTAAATGTGAACATGATGACTATAACCCTGAAGGCATCGTTTAAGTATGAAATAAGTATAAGGTATTTAAGAACTATTCAGCTAACAAAAATCTGAACAGTACAAAATCAGAATAACCTGTTCCATCTGTCTCGAAACCGGCTCGACGTTACAAACAAAGCATTACGGTGTTGGCGTTATAATACGGAATTAGTCTTCCGGGAGATAAGGAAGTAGAAGAGCACGTGTTTATAATGCTTTAACAATATGTTGTTTTTCTATATTATTTAAAGAGATGTCATCAGAATATGAGCCAGTTCAATTGGGTCTGTAAAATAGTGAAACTCATCGCGGCAAACACTTCCGTATACCTTTTAAGTTAATACGGAAGAAACGGGAAGGACGATCATGATAGTATTTACTTCTACTAGAAACATCAACGGAAGTAAAAATAACAAAGATATTTTAAAGATTGACGTTTTAAATGACATTAAAAAGATGGATGTTTTCAATCTTCCTTTTTTGTGCAAACTCAAACATTACCCAGATTCAAACAGCAATAACAACAATGCAAAATCTGTGATAATTAAATAAGCTTTTAAACCAAACGATAAAGAGTTGACTGATGGATGGCAGTAGGTATGCTACTTGTACTATGTATCATGAGGGAAAATCTATATTCAGCACGATAATAAATGAGCTTTAGAATGATAAATCGATTAAATCAATGTCCAATTACATCATTTCCATTCCATCAATATAATTAATGACAATGATATATCCAAACTTAAAAACATTTCCAATATGTGCCAATACAATCTTTATAGGATAAGACCGGGTGTTTTATCCTATTATGTCAATATATGTTGTCGGGTTTAAATTATGTAACAGAAACTGGAACTACAAGTAAAGTATTTTAACAATTTATGAATCATGATTATGTAATGTAATAAACTTTACCACAAGTTAGAATTAACGATATTTATATTTGCTAATATAACAATTTTATAACTACCGTGATACATCATTTAGAGTTGTTTCTATAAATTATGGAATATAGTTGACGTCGTACTTTGTTTTATCTTAAATATCACATGGAACCGTATTTCCGTGTGCCACAAGCGAGAAATCCTTTTTTGACTTGAAAAATATTACAATATTACGTTATTTTTTTAAGCATAGACACCTATCATCCGACGGATTACCTCCAAACTTCAAATATATTATACGTTATGTGTAAAAAAATTGAACAAATTATAATCAGAACTTAGTTAAATAATATTGAGCCATATTCTGGAAGCACTCAAGTGCTGAGTAATTTTATGTTATTGATGAAATATACGCAAAATTTCTATGTGAACAGCACCTAAGATGAAGCTGTAACCGCATAGCAGCCGCTGGGACAGCCGTGTATTTCTGGATTGGTGAAATTAGTACCGTGCGGAAAATTTAGTCACGATTTGTTTGATTGCGGGACGCCGTCTATATGTCTGTGCGCTTCCGCAATGCGTAATAAATGAAAGCCTTAACCTCTTTAGTCAACAACAACGTATGCCTATACAAAACTATAATAATATAGTTTTTAATGAAGTAAGCCACTATAAAAAGTACGTCTTATGAAGTCGCTCGCATTGAACGTTATAAAATATTTATTTATAAAGAAGCTTTATTCAAACTAAGGTCAAGTCAGAAGAAATTGTCCTCCACTAGCGTAATGTACATGTATTTTCCTTACCGTTGACATGTTTATTGAAGTCTTTCTCACGAAGTTCTCTATCTACGTTCCATTGCGGCGATTCCGTTTTGTTCGGAGTCCTGTGGAAAGAAAATAAATATATAAATAATGCACCATTGTTTCGGAACTGAACGCGTGGGTGTAAATTGAAATGATTTATTTGGGATCACGACATAATGCATGGACGCATTCATAATGATTCAGTGTATCTTATTGTGTGGCATTCAAGGGTCAACGCCTTCGGAGCAGTTGTGGCAGCAGCAGCAGTCCACGGTTCAAGAACGGCGAGCGTCACGTCATTGACAAAATTAAAATGATTCACGTGTGAACATAAGCTTAATGCCTTTCCATTTTATTTCACTCCGTACACACAAACATTCTAATGTAATTTATAACGAACGTATGTAGGAGTGACTATCATTCTAAATGTCACGCCTGTCGTGTTGGGTTATTTACGTAGTATCTCAGACAATATGTCAGCCAATATGATTGTGCATTTCTATCTACTGTGTTTCGGAAGATCGGAAATGTCAAAAAAATATTTAACGAGCAGTTCTTATGTGATTTAATGTTTATACTAAATATTAATTTCAATACATCGCTTCCCGGATTATTATGTGGGGCTGACGTAATCGACGTCACGAAGCCATGATATTCAGGGCACGTTTCAACATCTAAGTACATCGTGCATGTTAATAGCGAGATATTAGTAATAATAATAGGTTGAGAATAGTTTTAATTGAATGTGCTTGATTTGACAGACATACCATGATTTGTGACTACATAGTTAGCGACCGTGATACGATCTTCGCCGATTGTTTTTCAAACTCAAGATTAGAATATTAATTATTTGGAGAGAAACTTGTGAAATTGTAATGAATTCTTCATACTTTAAATGAAATGAAGCGTGGAACAATAATTAATTTTGACTACTTAATTATGTTGTATTGCTTGATTGTCATTTGCAATTTGCTATCGTTTCTTTTGAAAAATAATTCCTCACAGTATAATTGATATTTTCTTGCAAAACTTGTGTTATATGTAAAATGTTATATTTACAATGAATGAAACATTAGCATTACCGTGTCAATATTTATTTATGTTTATCACATGCAAATGAAATCATTGTCATTTCAATTGTATATTTTCATTCATTCTAACTTCTTTAAGTGAAGAACACATATAGATTAAAACTAAATATGGATGCCACATATATTTAAACAAAATAGCTCTTAAGTGTTATTTTTGATATTCACCTCATCATGTTGTGCAGGTATACGATACGTACATATCCATATGCCAAAGACGTGATTGAGATCATCGGCCACAATTTCTTAGTGGTCAGGCAACGTGTATTAATAAACTGCCACAAGGTACTTCAATAATTATGTAATCCATGACGGTTTCATTCGTTTTAATTGTCAATACCGATAAATAATTGATAAATTTAATTAACACATTTTGGCATCGGTAAAGTTTACTGGGTTCAAATATGTACTTAGGACTTCCTGCACTAAATTAGTTTTACTCTTAGTATAAATCGTATAATAATTTACGTAGCTTTTTATACTTCTATAATAATTAAACTTTCTTTCTTAGTTTGTTTTATGTGTTGAGCTTTGATAATCAAAGGTTTTCAGAGTGCGTATAAAGCTGCAGAAAAAATAAGAGTTTTCGAGGCTCAAATCAAACGAAAACAAAGAGACAGTATACGACTTCTTCGAAAAAACCTTAAAATTAATATTGAATAACTCACTAACCATTACAAATACAAACATATTGGGGAATCGCTTTGGTCATAATAGCTACTTAATCAATATTTACGACAAAAAAATATATTTAAGGAAATTTTGCTGCCAATGGGAGGCAATTTTTAAAAATTAATTGTTCCATAACTATTTTGTGTTTAACGGTATATTTATTTAAGCATGTTATTGTAAATTTTTACTCATTTTACTAAAGTTTCTACAATAAGTCTATCGCGTTCGGCTCACTTGTATTCTTCATCCATACTTCTCGATCAGCTTTCATCTCAATATACACATCACAAACAAAATTCTTAAAGAGCTCAATGCTCCATATTTCACTGTTATAACCAGTCTCAAAATTAATATCTCCATGATCTGACAATTACGTGAAGCAACAGACAAAGAGGCGGCACATTTTAGTAGATTACTCATTAAAGGTGTATACTCACTGTCTAGCCTGCCGCGAACAACGCCGCAACTCGGCAGCGAACACGCAAAACTCGCCAAAAGTGAGCGTGAACGACTTCCGACGTGCACACTGCCGTGCGCATACCAGCATTTCAAATACTGCAACAATAAAATTAAACATTATTTATCGCTTAAACTGTACATAATAAATTAATAGCCGGCATTAAAGAGCTTCTGATTGAAAATAATAAAATATGCAAGACAAACAACAGGTAAGTTCAACGGAATGCAGTATAGGCAAATGGATAAAATTTATCCAATAATGGTGGACAAAATGTGCTGATAATAAATAATTTCATTCATTTTTATTGTAAAGTCTAATATAGGCGGTATAATTAATATTGAAATAAACTTATTAAAAGTACTTTTGAATTAAATTATATTTGATCAATTTTGCATTGGTAATGCTGTTCTGAAAAATATTCTTAGCTGGGGCCAAAGTGTTAATCATTCCCAATGAAAAATGCTTAAAAAATCCACTTTGTTCCTGGCACTCCGAGATGGTATGGGATGGATCCCCTTTTATTATGTTTTTTTTCCGGTATAGCATTGTGAATGTGAAATTTATCAAATATAATATTTTTTTACCTATCACCAGTTCACAATGTCTTTTGGCTAAGAAGAACGAACAAATCAAATAATGATTAAAATTTTCAAAATCATATATCAGCTGAATAATATTATAATACACAAATTGCAAAAAGAGGACAAAGAAACAATAAAATGAAATTAGCTTATCATAAACAAGGATTGCAGGTTAATCCCGTTTATATCCTAAGGAACAATAACATCAAAGATAACCCGAACGTAGGCACGCGCGCGGACAAAGCCAATTAAAGAACCGCTTTATGAACCGTACGTATTAATCAACCAGTTCATAGCAAAATAAAAATAGACGAACAATAAGATAATGCGTAGATAGCGTAACGAAGTAGTAATTTACAATGCTCTATGAAGATTTATATCTACAGGAGGATGTTTGTAAACAGAACAATGCGTATTCGCGTGCAAAACCCATGACAAGCCACGTGAAAAACAAGAGGAAAGGAAATAACATCCTCTATAATAATTCTTCTGGACGGTTATATTGGGGAGATTCGAAAAATATAGTGATTAATTGAAATATGAAATAAGCAACAGGTTGTCGGTTTCACCCCCATTAGGTTCTATTATTATTCTTCTATTAGACACAAAAAAAGAGGTCTCTTAATTAATAAACTGCCATTAAGGTATATCAGTTTTGTTTCTTTTAAAAAATATCCTAATGATCTTGCATTAAGATTTAGATCAGAATAAGATCACAGGTCTATCCGGCTTTATAAATTTTTGTTCTTTTTGGTCGTGTCGAAAAATATTCTTGAATCCGGAATTGATGATCCGGAACTAACAGTCAACTTCCAATACATTAAACCAAAATTTTGGTTAGGATTCCAATATCTAAACCCGTTATGGTGAAAGTGTTTTGAAAACGGTTACCATATAACGGTTTAGTGAATGATCCTTTTATATGAGCGATTCTCATTATTCATGTCATGTAATTTGACACAATATCTCATTAGAATAATCATCATTACAGTATGTGTTTTATTAAGAATACAAACGATTGTGCTCATTAGAGTACAAACGTCCATTCCTAGTCTGTAGTGAAGTCAGAATTGTTCGTCACCCAGTGAGCAATAGGTGAGATCACATGTCAAGCACACACTTAAAGATGTGAAAGGATAGCGGTACTAGTCTTTTATGATAATATTTTTTATGGTTCTGTTAGAGATCGCATCAGTAATATAATGAAATCTTAACAGCATCGCTTGAGGATCCATTCTTAAGGATTTTATTTTAAAGCTTGTAAAAGAAATGGCGATAAACATATCCCCTACTTATTTGCCCTACCCCAAATGGCATAAAATAAAAATCGCAAACTCAAATTTCAAAGCTTTAGCAATGACTTCGAAAAAACTTAATTGCGTTACCGAAACAATAATTCATACATTGTATATTGAATATACAAAAGTAATTTAATAACAGTGACATTGGTGAAGTCGGCTTAACAAAGGACTGTAGTATTACACATATAATAATAGGAATTACGTTCAAAAATGACTTCATCATAACATCCTCTCCATCGGCGTCTTTGTGTCTGGTGATGTAAAACACGTCAACGGGTCAGTGAGTCTCCCTTTGGTATTTACAAAGGCCAAAGGTCGATTCAATGTTATTACAAAAAGCTAATATACTCTCGATTATGTTATTTCAATTAAATATACACTTTTATATGGCCTTGCTTTTTTTATATGCATCAAACGCCGGTGTCAAGGTGGTAAGAATTTTCGATATAGTCTTTGGTCTGGCTTTTGTGATACCTTCGCTTTTTTCATTTTCATATACCGAGAGTTCTAGATTTTTGGTATCTGTGCAATTTACGTATATTATTATTTAATCACAACACTTTTTATCTGTATTACAAATGCTTAAAAAGTCCACCATTCCCAGATACCCCAAGATGAATACCTGGGTCGTACCCATATAGGTATCAGTATAACACTGTGAAAGCAAAATTGATTGAGTATAATAATCACAACACTTTTTGTTAAAAAAGACTTCTGTACTATGTACCATTAGTGTTTTTATTTAGATTTAAATTGCTACAAATGACAATATCTTTGCATATGACAACATAAACATTATTTAGTGTTATGATCGTTTCAACAATGAAATACATAGTGGGTTCATTTTATTTACGATCCACGATTAATACAGGAGTAATAAATACCTATTCAAAGAGGCGTAACCTGTTATAGATCCGTTAATTATTTTATATGACAGATCAATTCAATGTATTGTGTGAGATACGATCACCGACTAATTGCCAGTTTGATCTTTGCCTATTGCTCTTTGATATTTATTAGGTCAACTTAAAGTCATTAGTCAATCAGTCAGTAGGTACACTCAAGGTTTTAAATTAATTGTAACATTTCATGTTTTTCATCTTACAAAATGTTTGATTAATCCTGTTATTCTTTTTAATATGATTTGCTTACTCTTGCTAGATATTTTTAACTCTGAAAGGAGTTATCCTGCGAATAAATAAATAGTTCAAGCATCTTACATATTGTTAGAACCAAGAATTCAGAAATAAATATAAGCTTAGAGAAACTAGTAAAAACTAGGAATTGTAATATGGCGTAGGAGGTGTAATTCAAATTCTACTCAAATATGGAGAAAAGCGTCTGACGCGTTTGCGAAAAATAGCTGATGAGTAAAGCAGATGCACAGCAAAAAACAATTCATTGCTATTATTTATGTAAGTATTAGGGACTGTTTATTTAATCTCTATTAATTAATTAAATAACAAAGTATGACTAAACAGTAGCAAAAAAAATCCCCTGAAAATGATAAAAAATGAGATATAACACTATAATTCCAGCTTACAATATTACAAGCAAGGTTTAAATTATCACATTGTTGATCGCTAACTGAATGATCGAAGGTGAATTGTATCGGAATGGATAGTTTCTATTTAAAACAGCGTTTTTCTTTCCACCATTCTGAGCATCGTTCTTTTTAAATGTATTAATAATTAGGAAATATCTTATTATTAATGCGTTTCTTTTCTTTCCATTACATTTTTCTAATAATTATGATTGATATTAAACTGGATTCTTCAGATTCGTCCTAGTTTGAAGGCTATCTACACTGTCCTACTGTGGAGGAGGTTAGAATATTTGCAAGCTATACGCGACGTATTATAAGGACGAAGAATGAACCAACAGATACAAGGGCTTGTATCTGTTGGTTCATGACACTGAAAATTTGTTTACAAAAGACAATCGAAAACGAAATTGCTCAAATGTAATAAAACTATTTGTTCGATAGGTACATATTCTACATGTGGTGGTAATCCATATCAGTGATAACGGTCGATTATTCCTCGCAGATGACGTCACCGGTGACCGTTCATTGAGTCAAAGGAAACATGTAGTTGTTCCAAGTGCACGCTCAAAAGTTGCACAACCATTTGTGACTGACTGGCGAAGTGTTAAGTATTGTTGTCGTCATCGATTTCCTGTCCCGACGTGACACAGGTTTTGTTACAAATATCCAGATGAGGCGATTTTGACGAGATGCTACGTCTGTCATTTAGTGAATTTTTAATTGATTTGAATTAGAGAGTCTTTTTAAAATTGGTCATGCTGTTTAAACAGCTAAGTAAACGGCAAATGAAATCGAGGCACACAGTCTAATTAGGTAATTCCAACTTTAACTAAAAGTTAAACATCGAAGCGAATCCAATGGCAGTTTTATAAAATTTAATTTGTAACGCTGTAGATCTGCTGATAATTGTTTAAGAAAAACCGGACTTCCCAACCAGAAAGAAAAAATGTAGTTTCAAATTCATTCCATACTAGTATTCCTAATTCAACCAATGAATATTTTTCTCAATTCAACCTAAACGTATTCCTTACTGGTTTGAAACAAAGACATATTAAGGGTTGTAAACCTTCAAAAAGTTTCATACGAATAGTTATTTTTTCGAATTTTCCAAAGAGTCGATAGGGTTTTTTATCACTACAAGTTACCTTACCCCTCACGGAAAAACTACGAAAATCAATTAATAGTTTTATTGAAAATTCATTTGTCAGTTTGTGACGATTTGAGAAACCCAAAAAGGGTTTCTTAATAAAAACTTGGACGCTATTACATGATATAATTTTGATATATTCTATTTTAGTCACATATCTTCATAATAATAATATTTTTATTTTTAAATTTATACGATTTACATGTTCACAACAGAAGATTTTTTTACGAACTAACATTCATAAAGAGCATATTTGATTAGTCAAAATGTCAAATTACGAAAGGTGAATAATAAAGAGAAACAATGTTGACCATCAAGGACAAAAAGTTTGCATGCTAAAACCTAGGACGAAATAAACGGTGGTACGGCGCACCGTTACAAGTTATCCATCTCTCTCTTTCGTAATAATAACCTGGACAATTCAAGTCCTGCCCTATACAGCACAGTTTTTTTTTTAATTAAAGTGATCATCTATATCATTACGTTAAACATTTTACCACCAACACTTGAAAATATACTACAATTTCCTTTCCAATCACATAAAGACTCTCGAGTCAATATTGCCCGTTTGCAGGCACACAATAACATACGTTATCTCCAAGCTTACATCATGATTTGATAAGGTTTGTGCAACCGTCGGTCAATACAGCCGCTACTATACTCAAAATGTCACATACGAATATCGAAGTGTTTAAAAAAATTATAAAGCATTGTTTCCCTCCATTTTTGTCCTGTCAATGTCAATTCATTATTACAATGTATTTTTCTTCCATACATGTCAACATTCGCTAACAATAGCCATTTAGCCACTCCTTCGCTATTTTCATCTGTTGTTCGGTACATGTATTAAAAAATATCAATAATATTTTTTCCTAAAAGTATATTTTTATAGAAATCATTGTGTTCACATAAAAAACAACAAAATATTTAGAAGGTTTATATCAATTTAGGGTCGACACCGAAACAACATTTTATAATAACTTTTCAGCTTCTTTCAGCAAGAGTAAGCAATTGATACTTATATAAAACTTGAGTTTACTTTATTATATTTGATCAATTTTGTATTCACATTGCTATACTGAAAAGTATGATAAACACTAAGGTGAAGTTAATGGTGGGCCGGTCCTATTAGTGACGAGCAGTGTTGCCATAGATAATATAACATAACAGTACCAGGGACAAAGTGAATTTTAAAGAATATTTGAGTTGACTATACCCTGGGTCTTAGTTGGGTACAGCTCTATATCGTTGAAGAGACTCTGCACGCATTTTGCTGGCGCGGGCTGGTCTGGCGGGCCTACACGGCAGCCCCATGCACTCGCCACCTCCCTGAGGACAAAAAAAAATAAGGTTAACCTAATTTGCAAATTGAAACTTTATGTTTAATGTAGTGAAGTCCGATAAAATAGAGTTAAAAATCCTTTAAGTACATTAAACATAACAATCTTAATCCATAACCTTAGTCCATAAGGATTGTAATTACTAAACTAACTGACGATTTTGGAATCCATCCGAAATGAATATAAACACTTGTTTATATAAATTTTTACATTGAGCATGCCACTGACGTTTGTATTTTCTTTATACTTGTAGTTTATAGATGCCCAACTCCGAAGGTGGGTTAATTTTGCAAATATGGAGAAATCATAATTCGGTATTAATCAATTTTACAATCATATTTACGAGAGTACATGGATACATTCTTGGCATCCCAACACCATCTAGCAGAATAAATAAATGCATAACCTATTAGTTGGTTATTTAGAATTCGTTCTCATTTAGAATTTTGGCTGCCATCGACTTTCATCAATCATTACCAAAAATAAAAAACGTAAACCTCTTTTTCTTTACGTTATCTACATATTCAACAAACATTTCTGAAACACCTATTGTATTTCTATCTTAAATTAACCTTAGAAAATGTAGTAAAACTTACATGATCATAATTTCAACACATAACAATCCAATAAAACAGATCCCATTAAAATCACTGTCAAGATAAAAGATACCGCTGCACAGTCCATTGACAACTGAAGTAGAAAAATAGAGTAGGCCTTTTAAATATTACAGATAGGTGATACATCTAATCGTGTAAACACTATATTTATAAATGACTCATAAACACAACCCTTATGTAATAATATATACCAGCAAGTACTAGAAAATATGCATTAATTAGATAATCATCTTTGTTTACGTTTTAAAAATCCATAAATAATACGTCGCAATTTGGTATTAATAGTTTTAAAAGTTTGTATAAATAAGAAATAAAGTCACATATTTTCTACTATACAAACATTTTACAGAGTACCTACTACATGAAAATGCTTTATAAAAACAATACCTAGGTATATTACTGAATTCGATAAATTTTGCATTCAGTATGAATTGTTGTTTTTCTTTAAGATGAATATTTTTTTTTTTTATTAATATGTAGGTAATCATTATTCCTTTGCCCTATGTTTGTAAGTTTTCACGTTAATCTTTTAGAATTATTATCATTAGATTTCTAAATCAATCGAATAATAAAAATAATATTGGACTATGAAAAGTAATTATCATGCTATTAATAATTCTAATTTAATTAACGTGTGTTTTGATTTAAGCTTGCTTCAAGTTAAAATACAATACCTCGTCAGTGAGGTACTTGACTATACTAATGCTGATTGCTGATGCTGAGACGAACGCTCCCATGCCAACGACATCGTCAACAAATAGGTACTAAACAAGTGCCTGAGAAATTGCAGTGTGTATTTCCGTACAGAGTTAGACTAAATAGACCTACCGGTAAGATCGAATATCATATTACAACGAGATTGGAACCACTACTATATGACATCATTTTAAAGTATTCGTTTTAAAGTATTCGAGTTTAAACAATGATTATTTTATTGCTATGTTTAATTCTGCATATATTAATGTTTATTTAATTTTGTTTAAAAAAAATTGCTATGCATTATAAAGTGTTAAACTTGTTTGATAAACTACTTACGACATATTATATTTACCCATCTCAGGGTGCCTTGGACCAAGTGAATCTTTTAAGTATTTTGTATGAAGAATACTTACGACCTATTTTGTAAAACTTAGAGCACAACAAAGTATTTAAAAAATCTGTCTCAAAAAATTCGACTCTTCTTAAAACGCCCAAAACGCCTAAAATTGTTATAAGAAATCATTAAACAAAATGTTGGCACATTCGATGAATGCTCGAACATTCATTTACAAACAGCGAATTCCGTATGACATGAATAGTTAAAGCTGCGTTCTAAGATAAATATAACCCGGATATTTTCAAAGCGTTCATGAAAATATTTTAAAGTACTTTTAGTTTACTAAAAGTGTTGGACACAATGAAGAGGAATCTACTCCGGATTATACACATACGTAATAAATAAATCGGGCGAAGTTTAACGTTATTTTAATTAAATACACATTAAAAATGTCCTTGAACATTTTGACAGTACTAATGATGTGCCACTTTCTTGCTTAAATAACAGTCTTTTTATTACAAAAAAAAATCTAAGCCGATGTATAAGTCATGAAAGTTTATTAGCGATACTACAGTACAACTTCAACAGCAAATAAGATATTTACGAATTTAAAAGATTTGATTATTTGTTTGTTTGCACTGAAAGGGTTCCGAAGCAAATGGACCAATTTCAAAATTTCTTTCAGCTACGGGAATAGAGGTTATAAAATAATTCTGTCGGGACTTACGTGCTTTCCGAATAACGAAGTAGCACGAGATAATACTTTTTTGGTCACCCATCACGTAACAGCGGAAGATGCTGAATAATAACAATTACGGGCCGCGGCGCTTATCCACTATGCCACCGAGCAACTCTAGCTGAAGAAAATCTTAACAGACAGAATTATCGTATTACGTTTTCAATGTAATATGTCTGACGCAGTTAGTAAGGGATATGAATGTCTGTGAATGGATTAGTTCTCACGTGAATGGTCGTTTCACTTATCTTACTACAGAGAATGCTAAACAATAAATATCAAGTTCATGTGAGTAGTAATAAAAATCTTTGAACAGTACGCGTTCTGCGTAGAGAAGAGAAGACGACACAATACCGCGACGCTCGGCAATAAAACAAAGAGTGACACACAAAATTGCTGTTAACGTATTAAAATATTAAAATCACTTTTAAATCGCTCGATTACAAGGCGACTAATACAAATAATCAATTTTCAGAATAGAATTAAACGACAATGGTCTCTTTTTTTCAATATAAATCATATGGACCCAATGACAGTGATTGCAGCACCCGGTCTACGAGCTTTCGTTCAGGTATTAGAATCATAGTTATCTACAGGATATTAATCGATAGGTTCATTAGTTTCGGATCCTATTCGATACAAACAAAGAGTCAAATCTTTCCTATTTACAATATTAGTATAGACGAGTACTTCAAAACATTAAATAATTATAGTAGAATAAGAATCTTTAACAACAAACGACTCTAGTGCCGGGCACTATATGGGCATTGGATAATAAATATCAATATAGCATTGTGTAGAAAATATTAAGTATATAATTAAGTAGAGCTTTAGTTGAAGGAAATACCACGACTAAAACAATGTAATGAATTAACTTTGACATTATAATGTCAGACAACCAGAAGTTACCAAATATGTAATTTGAATTTTAATACGATAACAACAGTGAAAAGATAACAACAGTAAAAGTATAGTTTGTTTCTTTACTACATCAAACCTGTTCAGTATCTTACATTGTGTAAATTTGGTTACTTAATTTTCATAAAAAACAGCCGGCATGCCACTTCTACTCTTGTTCTGTTCTGTGAGGAAAGTAGTTCGATTTATCAAAGCACGGACGACAAATGTTTAGATGTAGATTCTTAAATACGAATTTGAAAAGGTTTCGTTAACATGGAAAGTAACAGTCAACTTTCACATCTTGCGCAAATAAATCCTAAATTATACTGTCAAATCAGTATGAAAATACATCAATATCAATACCGAGAAACAGCCAAATCACCAATCGTGTTGGAGTCATGCCGTTACTCAGGCAACTTTCACTTCATTGTCACTTACCTACATCTATTGGAAATTACAGATGAATTTGCGTTCATACAGCCGCACTCTTTAACTACTGAAGCTATCACGGCAAAATTAAAAACGCACTTGTGACAAATCACAACGAAAAGGACAGCTAATATATTCGATAGCTTCATCGCTTAAAATTGTTTCTTTTTACCAGGATGACATGTATTGCTGATCACACTACCAGGTAATATAAAGCATTGTGTGATACTACTATATGCCAATAACAAATCGTTATCAGTAATCGTATTACAATTAAATATAAATAGGCGAACTATGACGTTAACACTAAGAGACAGGTCATTGGGAGTCGCGACCCGGCGATAGATAAACAATTGTTTTTCATTGAATAGATATGTAACTATATTAGGCGTTTATTAGTTACTTATATATATTTGTTCAGTGTAATATACGCCTATTTAGTTCAAAATATTGCTGGGTATTTTAATAAATCATGAAAAAATCGCGGAACTACAGCGGTTAATCAACGCCATTGTTATAATTCATAAATAGCTGTGGTGGTGTTACTACCGAAATTAATAATGTTTTCAAGTTAATGTAAACATATTTCATAAAAAAATCCATCCATAATTATTATCACCGGAATCGGCTTGAGCGATAAAAAACGAAATAAGTTTCGCATTGCACACGTCATGAAATAAGTATTCTACGATGTCTGTAGTCTAAAATTTAAAATATCTGATATTACGATCTTGTTCCCAAAAAACTGAGGATTTATTGTAATTAATAAAAATTATTGTAAAATGTTAATAAATAGTACAAATTGGAAGGTTTATTAAGTAGCTGAATGAAAAATGCAGCAGTTGACTAATGCTAGTTCAAATGACGATGACAATTTACGAATTATGACTATAAACAAACCTCTTTGGGGCTCAAACATTCAAACAAACTCGTGTGTCCTGCTTTCTTCATAGTAACAGTAAATTATTAGACTATTTGTAACTCCCAAAATTAAGTAAGAAATTAATTGTGTTACTTTATCTTTGTCGAGCTAAAATAAAAGACTGACCAGACTTATGATAAGACTTCGTAAATTTAAAATTAGATTCCAGCGTACTACGTTGTTGGTGTAGGTTGGGTTCAACACTAGATAGCCATGGCGTATGTATTTATTTAAGCTTAAGGATCGCCAAGGTTATTTGCATGATCGCCTTCCGCACCAAATTGATGAATCATACAACTGTCAGTTTTTTAACGTCCAGTGGTTAGATAGTGCATTTGCTCTGCGATCG